ATAAAAGCGCGCAAAGTTTGTTTATTTGTTTAACATTTTTAATTTAAAAATAGTAAAATTTATAAGTGGCTAACTGAAAAAGACGATGAGAAGAGATAGATAAAGAATAGAAAGTGAGATGTTGTATAACAAAATCGAGAAGATTATAAATCGTTCATGTGTTTTGTTTGATTGTAATTTATACCGGACTTACTTCAGTGTTTCTTGACGACTTTTGTCGTAACAACGGGAAGAACTAAATGAAAATGTCTCCGAAACAGAAAGGGAGCAACAATGTGAGTTATCATTATGTAGTATGTATTATCTTCATAGTTTGATTATTGAGAGTGATATGGCGGTACGCAAGATTTACCAGAGTTATCAAAACAGCCCGAATTTGGACAGTATATTGTAGTTATCGATCATTATTTTTCTTTGAAGTTTGTATAAATATTTAATTTTATTACTGAATGTAATAAACGTGTTAGAGATGTTTTATTTTCGGTTATATTTACTCTCTTATATTTAATTTTACCGATGTAGTTTTTTTTATTGTTTTTTGAACACGATACTCGAAAGAGTGTGTTCCCGCAAAATTCGATTTATTATTTGATTTGATCCTACTTATTTTTTAATACACTTTTCCTAGAGCAAATCTTTTTGAAAGCTGTTACTTCTCGCATAACTTTTGCAATAGATTTCATATGAAAAACCATTTTTCTAACACTATGACGAGTTAATGTGTAAATTAGTACTGACTTACTAACTATCATAGTCACAATCCATAGTTATTTATTAATTTGTTATAATATAATTTTAATATGCTAATTATTCCTTTTTAATAATAATCTAACTAAAAATAACTTTATTATATCTCAGACAAGTAATTTTTTTAGATGTAAATTACCTCAATACCTTTGTATGTGTGTGTGTGTGTATGTCGGACAACGTGTTTACAAAATTTCACGATGATCGGTTCAGTTGTTGACACTAAAACGTGCATGCGTAACAAACAACACACTCACTGTTGCATGTACGAGTATTTATAGTTAACGTATTTACCTTCGAACTCGAACTTCGTCTCTTCTAACGAAAGCATGGAGGAAAAATGGTACTTTTTCGACATGAATAAGTACCATTTTTCCTCCATGCTTTCGTCTACCTCTAACTAAGTAAACATAAAAATTAAAAATAGTCTTTAAAGATATAAATAGGTATTACATAGCTTATAATAATTTTACATAATTTGACATTGAATATTTTGGTTTCTGCATTTTGTGAGTTTTTTGTAGTTTTCAATCTTTGTAACGCCAAAAACTTATAGTTGCTTGGGAAAAAATCTGAGAGCATTTCCTTAACTGTTCATTTGCTACTTTCAGTGATTTTTATCGAACTTAGTTTTTTTTTATCGCGATATCATATTTCAGGGAAAGTCTACTCTACAAAGATCAAATAGTAAATTGGTACGAAAAAACACCTTATTCGTCGTATATCAATATATATAATTTAAACTTTAAATCAAACCGACAGACAGATTTACTATAGCATTTGTAAAATTAGTATGCATTTCTAAAGATCACGGACAGTAAAACCTCATGATTTTTTATTTTAAGCTTAAACATATTGAACCTCACAAATCTGTGATTAAATAGTTTCCTTAAAATACTACTACTACACTTGCTACTGCCATTTTTAAAATGTTTTTTTTTTAAATGGCCACGCCATAGTACAGCAAAACTTAAAATAAAAAACAATGAGGTTTTACTGTCTTTGACCTTTAGAAATGCATACTAATTTACGGGGTATCTCAAATTGTAAAGTCGTTATCGTTGTTATGTATTTCGCCAAATTTCATCCAAACCAAACGCTTTTGAGTCCAAGAGTAACTAATACGGATGGGTATTAGTTACTCTTGGACTCAAAAGCGTTTGCACACTAACTAAATTACTAGTAGGATGTTAACCAGTTAATCTTTAAATATGTTTTTTATTTTGAAACTCATCTTTAAATTATTACTACTATATAATACTCCAGTTTTGAGTCGACTTTATTACCTTCACGATTCGATAAAGCAGTTTTGTACTCGTAAAAGGAAATATGTAATGATATTCTTATTACACTAATTAGGTAAGTTTAATTGATTTTTCAATTCATTAGTCGCCAAAAATATTAATCAGTTTTAGTTATCATTTGAGTCACTAGCTGAATAGCTAATTTTGTAATCATCAAGGTTAATAACAATAAGGTATGTACTTGACACAGTGAGCGGTAACCTATCCTAACATATGTACATATACGTTTAAATGAGGACTGTAATGATCCAACACTCCGATGGAGTACATTTGCATTATATCAAGCAATTAAGTTTATTTTTACTTTTAAATGCAATAAATTCTGTCTTTATCACTTATTTGTACTGTAGGTAGGCTACGGTGTCGCTTTGTCACTGTTTTGTTCGCATATTGACAGAACCTAACTATCTACAGACTGGTTAACCATATAAATTGTAGTATGAAAAAGAAAATCGTTAAGAAAATTGATAAAAAGTAATTGTTTGGACAAATAGAAACTTCTTGGTTCTCGTATTTGGTTATTGACATAGTTTCGGAATAGGGCTAATGAACCTACACAGTCTACGTATTATCTCAATTAAGCAGTTAAAATAATTATCATCATAATATTATTTTCTCTTTTTATTAAATAAACAGTTTTCAATGTATAGATATGTAAGTTGATAAAAGTTTTAAGAATTAATACGAGTATTAATCCCCGTGTGTCTTGAGCGTTTAAAAACAGTAGTGACTTCTATTGATTTAAAAACATTGACAAAGAGTTTGTAGTTGTTTGAAATTATAATAAAAATAACATTGTGAATGTAACATAAAATTAATCTAAATGTATTAAATGGCAAGATCCCGTAAAAATAAAAGAGAAATAAAGATTATAAACAATACGAGTATGTAAACTGTTATTTTGTATAAAAATCACGAAATGCTACTGTTTCATGGGAAAATGTATGCTGTTTTCAACAACAGCTGTATAAACTGTGACTACGGGTACAATAAGTTGCATATTTTATTACACCTTTCAAGTGAGACTTCTATAAATAAGGTAGCTAATTACAAAATGACATTATTTTCCACTTAAAATTTAGTTCAAAATAAGTAATTTGTTCAAATCTATTTTCTGTCTTAGGAATTTTAGTCAAACTACTAAGTTTTTAACCAGTTGTATTTTTTACTTTTGTTCCTCCGAACTTCGAACTGATTGATAAAATTCTTTTATTTTATTTTATTTGAGAGCGTGTAAGTACTTCACTTGTATCATTTTCAAAAGGAAAGATTCGCCATGAATTGGCCTTACGCGAAGACTACTCAATTTTTTTCCCAATTGCTTCTAATTGATGTCCTAAAAATTATCATATTTCTAGTCATAGGTATTATATAGATATAAACTTCGCGTCTTCGGAAGGATTAAAACAATTGATACTAATTGTTGATTCATTGACTCTCGATTAACAAGATAACTGTACGAAACACAATATATACTATAAAAGTTGTTTATTAGTTTGTAGTGTGTCTTTAGTACGTACTTTTAATAGGGTAGATGAATATCAAGTCATCAATCATTTATTAAACGTTAGAACGATAGGCGGTACATTTTTGTATGAAATACTTAGCGTGATGTCATACATAGCTATTGTCAAATCATTTAAAAATATTTAATTTTGATTTGAAGATATAAAATCAATAAAAATATAAACTTGGTAATAGAAGACAGTTCAGGCTGTATTTTAAAATATTAATAATTTATTTTAAACTCAGGAATCAACCCTATTCTTACTACAAAAAGTGACCTTATTTTTCTGTGCGGTAATCCCCTCGGATACCACCCACCGGTGGCTATGACGGACTCTAACCGACTACCAGTAGACGGGGAACCAGGTGTACCCCAGAAAGGAAATCCCTGGTATCCCGACGTATCTCGGGCCATCTACGGCGGGTAGATGACTCCCTCCTGTGTGGGAACCCCCATGTTCCCTTGGTGCTCCCAAAAGGGCACGCGCGCTCCGCAGCGCGTCTTGGCGCCACTCCGGTCTGCTTCTGTTAGGGTGATAGATGACCTCTCCTGTCACCCCCAGGCGTGCGCTTATGGAGGATGGTGGTCGTTCTGCGACCTCCAGCGCCTGAGCCGTCTGAGCCGCCTGCGTAACCGGTCTCGTTCCGCCATCTCCTTCGCAAGCATAACTTGCTTGCTTCTGCTGTATCCACGGTCCGCCCATCGCAGTGGTAGCACTCAGGCGTTGGCTCCTTGCGGATCAGACACTGGTGATCCAAAATCCATCCTTTCATAGTCACCTACGTCAACCGGTATGAGAGGGTCCCGTGATGCCTCTCGAGCCAATCCTCCATAACGGGTCTTACCGCCGCGATAATGGCGTGACCGCTACAAAAAGTGACCTGCACACTCAAAAACTAAACTATTTTATAGTGTCAACTGTATAGTAACTTTTTTGCGTCTCTTATCAGTTTAGATCAGTACATAAAATCGTTTTTTCGCAGAGGAGGTTAAAGTGGCAATTTTATCAAATAATTACAAAGTCCTGATTGCTAATCAATCATACCTGTCAGTACTAAAATAATATATATGTCTACTGTTTATTTTTTAAATAACACGAAACTTGTTTACTTTATAACATTCTTAGTTTTAACTTCCAATTGTTAAATTCAAAGGCAATGGGATTGGTAGCTTTACTTGTATTTACTGATCGATGTACCTAATTAAATGTACAGAGAGATACAGAATTACTACCAGCTACGAGGCCACAGATGATTGCATGACAAATAAACTGAACACAATTGATCTTGGAACCCATCTGAATTATACGATGCATCCGATTGTTATTGTGCAAAACGCAATTAAATTCGTAATAAAATTTAAAAAAATACCGAAAATTAATTTCGTAATTCGGCAAATATATGTATTAAATATAGTCTAAGTGTTTTCTTCTCTATTTACAGTCTAATGCATCTCCGAGCGCAGAGCGGAGGGAGCATCTCTACAAGATCCTGGTGATCGGTGAGCTGGGGACTGGAAAGACGTCCATTATCAAACGATATGTGCACCAGTTCTTCAGTCAACACTACAGAGCGACCATTGGTGTGGACTTTGCATTAAAAGTGCTCAACTGGGACTCCAATACGATTATACGGCTACAGCTATGGGATATTGCAGGTACGTCATGAACAACATAATTTAAGTAGTAACTGTATAGCAAAGTAAAGTGTATGCCGGTTGAATGGTGTCTGTCTGATACTTTAATTATTATATACTTTACATTTTCCGTGTAGTGACGGATTGAGAATACAGAGTGGATACACCACCCCTAACCCCTGTTATGAGCATACTAAGGGCGCAACTGCTCAGGACAACAGCACTGCAAAGAGAAGGAAAACTTGAAACAAACCCTATATCAACCCGTCTGATCAGCGTGGTATATTAGGCCAAAACCTTCTTTCTGAGGAGAGGACTATCTCCAGCAGTGCACTATTAAAGGCTGTTGATGATTGATGATTACAATTTCCTGTCTAGGATGGGACGTTTTTGTCCAATATAAAAGAAGGTGACCATGGAGGTGGGAACCATGCTTCGGCATATAATACGGGCCGCCTCGATCAGAGTGGTATCACGGTATTACAGAAAACCGGTGTTAAGTTACTTTTTACCGAGTAAGAGAGGTTATCCAAGCTTTAATTCCCCCTACTTTAGTCTCGTTACTCTTTAGGGGGAGGACCTCATAGGTCGACAACGCACTTCTGACTCTTAGTTAGTAGTAGGAGTCCATAAAAATATACTTTTTTTCCAAGCAACTGTACTGTATGTATTAAGGATTAAAAAGAAAAAACCATTACATGCATTTTTAAGGGCGGTGCACCCCAGGTATCAGGGAGAGGGGGAGTTTGGGCTCCGGTAACTTCACTTTCACTCCTCGAAAAGCAACGAAGGAATTGCTTAACACCGGTTTTTTGTGCAACCGTAGTTTAATTCCGGTCGGGTGGGCCCATTTGAGCCGAACTCTCTCTCTCACGTAGAAGTTGCATTGGATCTTGGAAAAAAGCACTTATGTTCAACCATTTTCCTAATATACAATTATTATATATATATCAAATAACAATTATTTTATTATGAAATATACGAGTATACAAGTATTATCATATCAAACATACGAGACTCGTCTCTTATCATGTACGACAACAATCTATTGTCACTTAGGTAATCTACAATGGTAGCGTTTTACTTCAATCATTCCATAGTATTAGCCGATAATTTCCTACTGTTTGAGAAACTACAAATAATATTGCAATGTATGGTTGAAATTATGAATGTATGTATGTAGAAAACATGTACTTTTCTTCAGAAAAGAAGGCCATAGTCTATATTGAGTTGCTATAAACAGATTCATTACTGTGAGAACTTTGATTCCGCGATGCAGCATCAAATATTTAAATATTACGATATCCGTGATAAGGTCGAGTAGTGATGTGGTAATAAACTAATGTAAAAAAAAACCTGATACTAAATCGTATTATTCAATAAAATTGAGAATAAAATTATACATTGTGTATATTTCTTCTTCGAAATTTACAAATTATACATTTATGTATTTAACTACTTTATTAGCATTTTCACCGGTTTTTAAAGCTGAATAAGTTACTAGATGAATTATTTATAGACATATTACTTCTGATAAAGTATGTCAAGCCTATTTGTGGCATCACAACCATAAAAAAAAATACTTTTTTTTTAAATTCCTTCTTTTTGTCGTAAAGGACTACAATCTAGATATTTATTAAAGATGTACGTAAGATGTAGTAGCCATTAAGAGGCCATCTGTGTACTTCCACGGAATACATGATAGTGAAGCTGCCTTTTATAAATGTAACATATTCTGTGTCTAATAACTATGATATATATATTAACACGATCACATAATTATTAAAACATATCTTTGCATATCTTGATATTTTAAATTAGGATACACTTCCCGTATACATAATTATATTTCATATTCAGCCTCTGTTTAGTTCAAGATCTAGAAACAATTTTATATACCGGTTTTATATAATAATAGTAAAGAATTCGAAAGAAAAAAATATATTTTGCTAATACGAGACTATCGAGTACCGCGATTGTGCTCACTAGTACAGTATACTAATCAAGTATTCATAGGTACTCGTATTTCGACCACGTAGATAACGTTTTGTGCCTTCGTCTAGATGCTTCCGATCATTATTCAATGGACCTTGGTGTCATGGAGGGTTTTATAAAACGATTTATAATCTTTTGATGCCAATGGTTTGACTAGAGATGTTGTTTATTAGTCGTTGTCGTATATTTATTGAACTTTAGACCTTCCAATGATATTAAACTACAATGTTCTTATGTTTAGGGGTATTTTGGTAAGATTAGAAAATTTGAGTGAGAAAGAGTCAGCTTTTGAAGAACTACACATTGACCACAGAATTGATAGGGATTTATTTTTAGCAAAATAAGGATGGATATGCGTGGTATAGTAGGCCAAAACCTCCTTTGTTAGGAAATGCCTATGTCCAGCAGTGGACCACTAAAGGTTGTTGATAATGATGAAGGAAGTATTGGAAATTAACGTGAAATATTTCATACTGAGTATTCAGTTAGATTTACAAGTTTTTTTAATTGTCTTTTTTCGTAGGGTTAATATTTTTTCTAAAAAGTTCCATATATTATTATGCTATGATAACTATGGTTTTTAATTGACAAAGAGACATCAGTCATTAATAATATTTTGTTTGAATTACATTGTCAAACAGTAGTTCTTGAATAATTATTATATTACAATATGGATGATAAAACGGAGGACTCCTGTGTCGTAATGACAAATATATTTACCGCTGCCATGTTGATTTTTCTTCTTTTCTTTTTGAGTGTAGTGATTATGCTGTAACACATCCCTCGCTAAGTATTCAACCCCAACATAGGGTTGATTTTCTAATTACTTTTAGCAAGGATTTGAATTTTACTAGATGTAAGGTATAGTTCTGCTATTGCTATCTGTGACGCATTTTGAGAGGATTTCTTAAAATATCACATTCACAGTGTGTCTCATACAGCCATTTTTTTTTATGTCGCTTTTTGCAATACATGTCTTTTTAAACTTACTCCCACACTAAGTTTGAATTTTTTTATAATCGTAGTTTTCTGAGATACATAGGTATCAGTCATGGGTTTTCATACATGATTTCAATTTTAATTTACATTGGCAACGGATACGTTGTACTCTAGTCGTAAGTGAAAGATGAAAATCAAGCTTTCACAAAATTATAGCAAGCCGACGGTGGCAGTGTTTTTGCACTAGTTGGTAGCAACATCAACTTAAATATACTATCGTCTATATTCTATCTACCATAGAGCTAAATTACAAATGTCTTTTTCGAAGTACGATCGAAATAGGTTGTTTAAATTTAGTTTTGACTCTTTGACACAACTATGCGTCTCTTCCTGGTGCTCTGGTGACTACCCACTAGCCTAACTACAGTATAATGCTGTACCACAACTAGTGGTGCTACTTCTATAAGTTGGTGTTGAAGAAACTGCTGAGGTAGGGTGTTTGTATTAGTTCCTATATGTTTTCAGTTAGCCAAAATAATGTAATCGCTATTGTTCTTGATCTCGTCCTAAACCATTCGTCTTTATTATCTCCAACAGGTCAAGAGCGCTTTGGCAACATGACGAGGGTTTATTACAAGGAGGCAGTGGGTGCGTTTATAGTATTCGACGTGTCCAGGGTGGCTACCTTCGACGCCGTGGTGAAGTGGAAGAATGACCTCGATGCGAAGGTGCAGTTGCCCGATGGGTCGGCGATACCGTGTATTTTGTTGGCCAATAAGGTGAGCTATGATCTTGTAAGATTCGAGTATGTGTCTGTATATGTTCAGTTATCATGCATGCATGCATTAATAAGCTTCATCAGAATCATTATGCACATAATTTATGCCCTATATTATTATTTGCAAGTACTTACATTCTGACTGACACTTAGGTATTAAGCGACGATTATTTTTAAGGAAGTATAGTTTCTCAGTTTTGTTTTATTAGGTAAAATTTTATCCCAACTGAACTGGAACATATATTGGATACCTTACTAATTATTATTTTGCGTGTGGGGTCAAGGGTCATATAAAGAAATATCAATGCCAATATATGACTTCCACTGACATACGGACGTTTGTGTGGAGACATGACATTCGGAGTGTTCACTGCGTGCCGTAGGAAAGATGACTAATTAAAGCGATATTATGAATGCGCGGGGGCAATGATAGGTCAGCTTAATCTAGGTGTAATTATAAAAAAAATACATTCAATATCGCAAATCTTAAAGTTGTTTACCGATCGTTTTTAAATATTTACACAAAGTTGTATTCACATTAGCGCATGTTTCTATGAAATTAAGAGACATTAATATAAATGGTGACTCCGTATTATTTCAAATTCAAAGTTTGTTTGTTCAAATTTGATGCGCCGAGTTACCGTTCATCCGGTCATCCTTTATTGCACACATGTTGCCAGGGATACAGTTAAGAGAAAATAGGATACTTCACCCAGAAAAAAGTTCTAAAATAATAAAAAGAAATAGTTTTTGCACGTATACAAGCGCAAGCCTATTATTCCTACATACTTACACTTTCGTCTTTATATCTACAAGGGAACATAAGCATATTAAACGTCCACAATTTGCGGACTATAGTTTTTTTAAGTTAGAGGGGGCAGACGAGCAGATGGGTCACCTGATGGAAAGTGACAATCGCCGCCCATGAACGTCTGCAACTCAGGAGATGTTTAGTCCATTTGAAGTAATACAAGGGCAAGCCATCAACCGGGCACGTATGTTTCTAATAAACATACTTATATATTTCTAAATTCATACATACATATTATAGATAAATTACACTCAGACACAGAACAAATGATCGTGCTCATCACACAATATTTGTCCTGCGAATCGGTTCCACGACCTGTGACTTGGCATTTAGTATCGCTAGCTATTAGATTAACAGACCCGTCCCATTATTAACACATTTAACACACACTACGCTTTAAGAATATATTCCGAATGGATTTTATTTAGATGGACATTGCCATCAAATTGTATTTTCAATCCTCTTCACAAACGTTGAACAGCCGGTTAATGCGAAAAAGTATTTCTTAAAAATATACAAAAATTTAATTGATTGCTCAATTCCAGGCATAATGTTTTTTTTTAAACAACTTAATAAAAACAATAGTTCTTCTGTAGTATATAATTATTATAAACTTTCACTCAGTATCTTAATTATAGATTTTCTGCTCTTATACGCTCTTCATACCTCATCAGCCTATCGCAGTCCACAGCTGGACTATGCCTCTCCCATTGCACGCCATTTAGATCGATTTTGGCTCTTCATACCTACCAATCAGTAATGTAACATTTAGATAGATATAATCAATAAACATATTGATAAAGCAATTCATTAGTTATTATCATTTGCTTAAATTCCTAAATGATGAATAACATAATTAAATATAATATTTACAAGAATTTACGGAAAAACATTATTTGTCACATATGTATCGGATTTTGCATGATTATCAATCTATGAGACTGTTGGTTCTATTAAATCATATCCTGTCTGCAGTGTGATCAACAAAAGGAAGGTATCGTGAACTCTCCTGCCAAGATGGACGAGTACTGTCGTGAGAAAGGGTTCGCGGGCTGGTTCGAGACATCTGCCAAAGAGAATATTAACATTGAGGAGGCAGCACGCTCACTAGTTAATAAGGTAAGTTTTATTTTACACTACTTCTAGAAAATTAATACAATATTACAACATAAAATGATACAATATATGATATATTGATTTTATTAGGTTCAGTAGGTACTTCTGCTAAAGTAGCCTCACGGTAGCCTCAAAGTGATGGATCATTTCGTTTTGTACTACGCACGAAGTACGATTACATTCCCAAGAGTGTTTGGCGTTGTGCCATGTAGCTGGACATAAAGAAAAAGACAAAACAGTTTCGTAACGCAACTCCTTCATTAATGAAGAACTGTGAGAATGTAAGAAGAAAACGCATCACCTCGATCCCAAATTTTGGGAAAATCGTATGATGATGATTATGAGACACTTCTGCTAAACACAAAAGCGGCTGGACTTGCGCCTTATAGAGCTGAAAGCTCTGGGCCGGAGTGAAATACTGCTTCGATCAGTTCAGCACACCGAGCTTCTTCGAGGCCAATTTGACGTTACCTTCTAAGTGACCCCGAAACTGGACTTCGATATGTCAATGCCTACGATTCCGATGCTGGCTGAGGCAGTTAGGGAGGTGGTCTCAAAGCGAGGTGATACGACAAATTGTATCTTCTTTGTGGTGAACGCACAGACCTGTGACTTTTTTAGGTTGAACTGGACTAGATTTAGTCGCACCCAATCTGAAACCTTTGCTAAGGAAGTTTCAATTTCAAACACAAGTTTGTTTCGACTCTCGATGACGAAAAATATTGGGGCGGCCGGTGTAAAGGGCATCTCCCGTGCTATCATCTGCATAGCAATGGATGCTACTAGTTTGCAACATGTCATTGATATGCAGAAGAAACAATGTGGGTGATAGCACACAGCATTTACGAATTTTAAAGTTGGAGCATGCAACGTCGACAACGACCTTAATGCTTCTGTCCGCAAGGAAACTGGTGACCCAATTACACGATTTCTCGGGAAGCCCAAAGGAAGGGAGCTTCGAGAGAAGCGCCTTATGCTACACCCGATCGAAGGCCTTCGCTATGTCTAAACTAACCGCACAAGCCTCTCCTTTGGTCTTGATCGCTTGTGCCCACCGGTGCGTTAAAAAGACGAGAAGATTCGCAAGCATAACTTGCTCGCAGAAGAAGACGCCAGAGTTCCACGCACTGCACTATGGCCGCAATAATGTTTTTGAGCGAGAGAACTCCCACCCCGATCACGCTTCTGCTCCACCCACGCCGGGCATTCTGCCAGCGTGTGGAGCGCCATATCTACTGTCCGGCCATCGCAGTTGTGGCACTTGCTGATCAGACACAGGTGATCCCCGAAGCATCCTTTCCCAGTGATCACCTGCGTCAGCCGGTATGAGAGGGGCCGGTATGTGACGCCTCGAGCCAATTCTCCATAAGGGGTCTTACAGCCGCGATAACCGCATGCCCGGCGCTCGGTTGCCCAAGTCGTTCCTTTCACTCCTCTACGGGGACCCGGTGGAGTTGGGATTTCTGATCATCGATTTCTCGAATCTCAGGACTCAGACCCAACTCCCGCGTCACTGTTATAGAGTCGCAAGGGCTCTCGACTTCAGGTCCCATGGTGCAGTTCCGGCGAGGAGATTCGCCGCCTCAAAAGAGATCGTCTGGTACCCACTTATGACCCTGATGGCCAGCACTCGCTGCGGTCATCGCAGTAGTGCGACGTTGCTGGCCCTCGGGGCTCCCGCCCATACTGGGCCCCATAAAAGGCCATGGACCGCACAACCCCCGAGTAGAGTCTCCTGCAGGAGTCATCGAGTCCCCTAATGTTGGGTAGCAGCCGCACCAATGCACGCACTTGGGGACCAGACCTCGGAGATGATATCCGAAGTCCCATCGGCCATCGAGTACGAGCCGCAGATATTCTAGCTCCTCCAAGTCGTAGCGCGTAGGCGTAGCACTCCCGCCTCCACCCCTTACGTTAGAGGTGATCGTCTTGTCGGATGCAAACTTCTCAAGGAGGGCCTTAAGCAGGAGCTCATGCTCGGCCCTCTTTGCTGGACTGCGACTATTTTTTACCCCGAACGTAGCTGGCGCCTTTTACACTTTTGAGTACCCCGTTGAAACTGCTCCTCAGCGTCAGCTGTCAACTGGTGTCAACCATAGAGGTGCTTGCACCGCTTTTTTCTAAGGCAATGTCTGAGTTTGACACTTCCCCAAAGCTTTTTGCGTCCTTCGCGTCGATACAAAAATTCCCCTGGACAGCGTTGGCCAGAGACCAAAATGCACGGGTTCCAGAAGGAAGTCTCACCAGTCTCTCAACGATCTGGCTGATGTGCTCCGATTTCGCCTTAGCAATGGCTCTTTTAAGGGACCCGGATACAAAGTTATATTGTTTTTTTAGCGTGCTAGTATTTACATCGCCTGTCGTCGCTGCATTTGACCATGCTTGGTAGCATTCCCGCTTCCGGCGGGACTCCGTTTTGGAGAATCCGTCGAACCAGGGCTTGGATCAGCCACCAATAGGAATTAATGTAGAAGGAACGAATAGTTCCATGCTCTGAAGTACTACATCAGTGACAGAATCGTCAACGACAGTGGGATCATCCGGCAAGAAATAGACCTGCCTCCATGGGTAGGACGCAAAGAAAGAGCGTATCCCATCCCAGTCCGCTGACCTATAGTGCCATGCACGGCGGCAGCCTGCAACTCGTGCCCGCGGCAAGCACGTGAGTGGCACTGTACTGCGGATTAGACAGTGATCCGAAGAGCCAATTTGGGCTTCAACGGTTCCAAGTTGTGACAAGCCATAGGTCAGGGCGAAATCGTGAACAGATCTCCCCGCCCGATCGGTCTGACGGACGTGAGACAAGTCATTCGGCGTTGTGAGCGTTAAAGTCGCCAAGTATCACGATCTTCGCGGATGGGATGCTGCAGCACAGAATCTGTAGCGATTTGGACGTGGTCCATCAGTCGGTCAGTCTGGGTGTCACTGATGGGACCTGTGTAGGCATGCATGCGTAGACGCGGGGATGGTGGTCGCTGTCTACAAAGAGCCAAAGATGGAAAGGCCGGCTTCTCTGTCTCGAGGTGGTGGTGGACAGCGTTGAGCTTGAGGTTATGCGTTGGTTAGGAGGCCTAAAATGAATTTACTAATTGTGTCAATTAGGGGTGGTTTTCACCCCTAAGGGTCATTAGTACATATCGGCTTGGTAGATTTTAAAGAGGAAAGTAAGCAGAACTTAATTCCAAATTTTTAAGAAATGCCATTTTTTTGAAATTCGGAGATTGCAACTTATTTTTACCGTCATTCACTGGACTATTTTAATTAAGACTATGTATTATTATTTCATTACTAATTAGTTATTTCGATGAAATGAGAACGTAGACACGAACTCCAAAGAAACTTGTTTTATTTTTATATTGAGGTTACATGTTAACTTAGTGGAAAATTTTAGGCTTTGATGTTCTCAAGGAATGTCGCTAATCGGGTCTCGTTCGTTGCGCAATATATATATTAAAATCTTACACAAGATTGCACAATATGCTTTAAAATATAATAAACCATCCATTTAAGGAAGCCATGACAAGTGGGCAGTTGAATTTTAAAATCCGGGTTTTGTTTTTATAGAATTAATTTGCTTTTTATATTCGTTTCAGCGTTTAAATATGGTGTGGGTAGTGTCTTAATCTCAGACAACACATAACTTAACCTACACCAATAAGTAAAGCCTCATTACTGCACGGATAGCGTAGTGATTTAAGCGGTTACCTCGCCGCTACCTAGTGCGCTGAGTGTTGTGGGTTCATTCCCCAAATGGGACAACGCTTTGTGTGATCCACAAATTGATGTTCTGAGCCTGGATGTTCTTTACGTCCGTTTCATGTATGTTTGTAAAGTCCCCCGCGACACAGGATTATATTCCTAATGCGGGCGTTGTCTTTATAAAAAACGAGAAAAAAAACGGAAACGTATTTCTCATCTTTAATATTATAAGGTGGTGTATGTGTAAATAATGTAAACATACAAGGTAAATAAATATCAATGATTCTGTAATCGGAATGACACAACCTAACTATAGTTTATATTACTAGTAATGTGATCTCAGGTAGATTGTTTTATGTAATAAAATGCCAAGCGTTAAATGCAATTACTAATAAACCAGTACAACCGTTTCAGACGATTTCTAAGGGACTCTGCCAATAATATGCCTAGCTAGACAGCGTAGCGTTAATGTTTTAAGCGTGAAAGCGTAACAAACAAACAAACTCACTTTCTCATTGAAAATATAAGTATGGTAATATAAGTACCTGTACAGTACAAGGCAAGTAGAATACTACCCCGATATTTAAACTAATAATAGTGATGGGTATAACACATGAACACGACCTGTCTGTTTACTGCGTATTTATAATTAACTTGCTGTCATGTTGCAAATGAATGTCCTTGAGCCCGCGGAATAATTGTGGATAATGTTAATTTATTTTGTTGCGTGTTCCTAGAACCTTGAGTGACGTGATTATGGGTTTGATTACATAATTGTCTGGGTTAAAGTATAGGTTAATGTAATAATAATAATTCCTTCCACCATGACCTTTTTGTTTATGACATTAATCTATTTGAAGATACAAAGAGTAGTCAGATCTGTATACAAATAACACGTGGATACATAACAGCAGAAAACTTAGAAAATTAAGTAACATTCGTTGTGTTGAGTATCCATGTTTATCAATTTGCAGTATATGTATAAAATATGCTGTAGGTATAAATTGCACCTATTAATGCAGAAACTCACTGAGATTATAACTGATGTGTTGTTAAAATACACGTCATTTAATAACAAAATATTTATTTCAGATACTTCTTAACGACAAACTTCTTCAGAGCAACGACAAGGATGGCGAAAAGTTTGCTCTTGAACACAAGATAGCAAACGGAGAAAACTCAAGGGACGGTGTCCAGAAGTCCTGTTCGTGCTGACCAATTAACGCGCGCCACCCGTACAGTGGCCCAATCACAACGCCTCAAACGTTCGCGCTCAGGCCCAACACGTTTGATTCTAAATTTAAATGCTCTATGCACCTTTTTGTTTAATTTTGTATTAGATACTTTTATTTAGGAATTGAAATTCGATTTATATAATAGGCCATCGATTACAACAAAAATACTAGAACAAAATAAAATTTAATTAAAAATTCATTTTAGCGGTAGTTGTTACTAAGGCACCAATTTCTTTTAGGTATCAAAATATGTCAAAAAAGGATAGTATATACGTACCAACGTATTAAACTTCACGAGATACAATTTAAGACATGCAGAAAAAATAATACAGGCAATAATTGAATTTCGAATATAACTTTTTTACCTTTGAATAGTTACTATGACTTTATAAGTAAAATCCTTTTTACTATCAATTTTCTTAAAAAACCTACCGCACCTTTTTATTAGAATATTGCCACGATAGGTACATATACCAGCCTTTTATTTGCCTATAAAAAAAGTGCCTGTTACGATCGAATTTATGAACACAATACTGTCTAATATTTGATTATATTTTTGACTCTACAGATTCTACGGGTCATTTTAGTGCCATTAATGGCTGAGGTCATAATATATAAATAATGTTAGATTACTTTACTTTTATCGTAATAAGTATTATCTACTTATTGTATGTGAGTGTGAGAGTCTTTATATGTAAAAATAAATTGTTTAGTGATGAAAATATTGTTTTATTAAATACCTACGGTGCATTGTTTAGATTATTTACAGGTGAACTGAATAATATTAATAAGTTAAAACACCTCCCACGCGGCTGTCTGATTCCAAACTAGTTAGAGCCTACCTCCTAAGGTAACTAGACTGCTGATAAACATAATTAGGTATACCTAACATTCAAGTTTTACATAAATTTTATATAGACACAAACCAAACGATGGTGCTCATCATAACAATAATTTGTCCTGCGTGGGATTCGAACCCACGACTAGGCTTAGTGAGGATTATAATAGGTTAAAGATTCACTTTTCTTGAATTTCGTACATAAAGATTTTAAATGATGTGCATTTTAATCAAGAATAAAGTTATGAAATAAATTTGATGTTATGAACAACGAGTTGACTGAAAAAAGGTGATGACAGAGTGACAGGTGGCCAGGGAGAGGGAGGTAAGGCACGCTAAATATTCCAAACAGGCAAATACTTTTTTACAGGGTGTAAGGGACGTCGTAACGAATACTGAAATATTCAAATCACCATTCTCAAGTCAAAAGTCAAAGGCATTTTTTGCCGGAAAAAGGTTTTGGTCAAAAATTATGAAAAATAATGTCACAATTAGTAAACAGAACATTTTCAAAACAATTCAATAAACACCGCATACGGTAAAAACTGCTATGTAATTAATGAAATACTTATACTTATTACTCGTACTTATTACTTTTGTGCGATACCTACGGGGACCTTAACCTTTGCCTGCAAATTTAACGCTTTATGCTAATTGCATAAAACGTTTAATTTGCCGGCACAAAATTCCAATGATTTTCGACTCAGAATGCTGGGCTAAAAACACTACTACAGTATTCGTTACAACGTCCCTTACACCCTGTATATAATTGTTTTTTGACTAATTTGAAAAAGTAATTCAGCGTAATTTTTGCTTTATTACATACCACTGTACTGGATTTTTGTAAAAAAAACATTTTATAATTATTTACCAAGTATTTACACTGTCCGGACTAATTGAGGTCAGCTTGTGACCATGACAGGTGCATCGCTAATTCCCGTAAAAATATATAATTATTACAGTAAAGTGACAGTTTAAAAGTCAGGAAGGTATTAGTTTAAAGTCGAAATGAAAACGAAAATAATGTGATGAAATAATTAGGTACTTACTGGGACCTACTCGAGACACCGCATTCGGTTTTGTAGTCGGCTCGACGTATCCACCTCACCGGTGGGTGGTATCCGGATGGAATTCGCACAGACAAAAAAGGTGCTTATTAGGTTTGATTAAACCAAAATATTACTTAATTATTTCATTAAGACTGAATGACTGAACGAATAAAATGACACACGTTCGTCTACTGTGGAAGCTTTATAACTTTCGAAGTAACATTAAAAACTATATTTGAAGAAGGAGGCGACAAATACGCAGTGCTTTCAATCTTTGAAAACAATAACATCTATAGATCATCTGACACTAATTTGATTCGAATGAATTGCCCAACAAATAACGTACATGCTAAAGTTACAGACAAAGCGATGTAAACATGAAGATCTTATCGTAAAAAAATGCTCTAGTATCATATAAATGATTAAATATATAAATTTATAAGATAAATTTCCTATAAGATACTTTTGTGATTGTAATATATACTTTTTATTGATCTATTATGGGTATACGTTACATAAACATGAAAACTGCGTACTACTTCAATATTTTTCTTCCTTACATCGCATAAACAAGTTACCTTACCTCTTTTTCTTCTTCAACGTAACGGATCTCGATGTAGATTTTACCATGTACATATATATTCATCATTTAGCAGCCCACTGCTGGACATAGGCCTCTCCTTAGAAAGGAGGTTTTGACTTACTATACCAAAATAAATTATTACAAAAATATGTTCATATGTAACTTTAAATATTTCAAACCAATTCATCGAAAAATACATTTACGTGACTTACGTATTGCAAACCTTAAGAAATTGTGGCAATGATGTATCTACTGTTGTGAGTGCAAAGCTTATATGTATATTAATAAGAGAAAAAAATATGTGTATCTAAAACCATCGTCTAAAATACATGTGTATATAGATTTAGAATAAATATACAAAAAAGAAGAAAAGAAAAAGAAAATTATTAGAATAATAAAAACAAGAAAGTTTGAAAGAAAATCAAAAAAGCAATAAAAGCGACACACATCACGCAAATGGGATCAAATGACGTCACGATAACAACATAAGTTGTAGGTAAGAAAAAACGTTATTATTAAGTACTCACTTCTTAAAATTACTAGCAATGCGGCGTTGTATTATATTTTTTTTATTACAAAACGAGGTTATCAATTTATAGGTTCGCGGGTTCATTGTGAAAATACCGCGTATCTTGCTCCTGTGACGCGCATTTTGACTTGAATACTATGTATTATCTGGCCATAAAGAATGTCATTCAAGTTGAATGAATGAAATAAATGTTCTCTTTGAGTTCAAACCATATTTCGTGCAGACGAAACTTTTTGTGACCAGTCTTTGTTGACATACGCTATCAGATTCCTTCGAGTAGATAAATAAAATGTCTTATCATACTTTATTTATAAAATACTGCCTACTTTGAGTACAAGCTTATTATAAATAAGAATCGTATAACTGCTATAATAATATATTATTATAAATGCTATAGTTTGGATGTACGGAAGTTTGCTGTCCATTACGCCAGGATAACTGAACAGAATTGGATGTAATTGTGTAGAGAGATAGATAATAGTCTAGAATAGAACATAGGCATTACCATCTATGCATTTATCATTTTCCGGCATAAAATATATTTTATACCGACTTTAAACTATACTAACGAAGAGCACAAAATTAAAAATAAATAAATCGAAAAAACGAAATCAAATGCGACTCTCAATGTAACAGGTAACCTTATATTAGCAATAGATACCTTCTAGTCTGTTTGAATCGGTGCCAAGCCCGATGCACACACACTTTGCGAGTTGACTCAAGCGACAGGAAAAAATATCAAGTTTTCGATACTGATTCGAAGAGACAGATAACAGCCAAAACTTAACAATTGTTTAGTGATTTGAAAATGTCATAGAGACACTTTAGAGAATGCTAAGTTCGATGGCCGATAAATGTAAGGTAAGATTAATTTAAAAACATACATAGTAGAATTATCATTTGACTTTTGATCAATATTTAGAAAAGTTTACATTGTCAAAGTTTTTCTTTTGGGTCTTCTTATAAACACATTGTTAAGGAACTAAGGGTTGATTTAAAATTAAAAGATATTGTGTCGGTTTTTATAGTGGAATTCATGAGCTTTGTATTGACTAAAGGAGAGACTAGACTCATATACTTACTTAGTACATCTGTACCTTGTATACCTTAGAACGAACTTCTTTTGGGAGTGACTTTTCGGAGTTAGTAGACCGTAGAAATGAAATCGTAAAATGAGATAAAAAAATAAACTAACTCTAAAATCTAAATATTTTTCTACCTTTAATGTTAAGATACCACATCACATCAACAGCCTCTAACAGTCCACTGCTGGACATAGGCCTTTCCTTAGAAGGTTTTGGCTTACTATACCACGCTGCCCAGACGGGGTTATGTTAAGTTTTCCTTCTCTTATCAGTGATTTTGTCTTGAGAAGTTTGCTTCCTTAGTTGGTTCTTACTACACCCACGGGATGATAAGGGGTGGCGACACTGCGTATTCTTGATCCGTGTGATGACGGATTAAAATACGCAGTGTTACCACCCTTCTACCCATACAGATCGGACGGAGGAATAACGAGAGGAAACTTTAACTTTAATATATCTGCCATCATAGTTCTCTTAAAAGTATAATCGTAAAGTTATGCTTCGACAAATTTGGACCGATTCGACCAAATCCAGGTTTTCGTTACTTTTTTTTATGGAAGAGGGGGCAGACGAGCAGATTGGTCACCTGATGGAAAGTGACTACCGCTGCCCATGAACGCCCGTATATCAGAAGTCATAAACGCGTTGCCGGCCTTTAGGAAGGAGTTTCTTAAAGGTTTGAAAGTTGTATTTTGCCGAGTGATTGAGGGTACATGAAGCCCAATCTCCTCTTTTCCCTTTAAACTCCGGTGGCACTTTAAGCGCAACGCGCTTATGTCTCTTGAATTGCAGGTTTCATGGTGGTCACTTACCATCAGTTGATGTGTCTACTTACCGGCCCAGTGTTGCTTGATGAGGTGTGCAAACTCTTCGAAAGCCTCTCGACTGCAAGGCGCCTCGTCAAGCATCTCGTCATAGTGGGCCCGGATCTGGCGGACAACGAGTACGGTTTCCGTCAGCGGCACTCCATGAATGGATGCGTAAATGCGATCATGCGCGTGAGGACTCTGGTTGAGGAAGCAGTTTCCCAGGGGCAAATGACACCGCGAATGCGTTCCACACTTTGCCCTGGAATTGCATCACCTCCACCGCATATTCGGGCATATTTGGCATAGAGAGCCGTCATCTACCCAGGTAGGACCGGTCTCGGATCTGTTTACTTGTTTGCACCCTATACCATAAAAATCACTTTTAGACACAACACATAATGTAGCATAGTAAAAGGTAGACATTAAAAAGTATAAATAAATATAATTACAATTATCTTAGTCATAAATCTTTGCCATATGTGGACCAACAAACTTGTAACTTGACTCGTTTTTATCGAGTTTATGTACACAATGATATTAATGTTTATTGTACCGTTTTACTCATCACTCTCTAAAATACTTAATTGTTGTGTAGTTCCTACGAGTCTCGTATGCTATTTATAATTTCTATTTAGTTGAATCTGTGTTTTTGTGCAATGGAACCGTATGCGGTGAGTAATTACATTTACTATTAGTAGCAAATTATACCTTGAACTGTCATTGTATAGAATTTGTAGGATGACAGGTCAAAATATTTATTGGACTCCTACTTTATTATCACCAACAGCCTTTACTAGTCCACTGCTGGACTTAGGCCTCTGCTTAGAAAGGAAGTTAAGGCCTACTAAAGTTTTATCAAGCCGTTTTTATGCATTTGGCAAGTTGCTATATGTTATAATAACAAATAAACATTAAGTATTCCAAATTGCTGGCTGATTTCTGGTAATTTAAAGTTAGTAACTGATGAAATCATTAATTGAGTTTATAAGGTTACATAATTATGTTGATGTGATTTTAACTAATTACTAATTTAAACTACTTAAGACTAATTTAAACTCTGAAATAAAGTAATGAAGCTCCAATAAAACCTTTTATAACGATTTTGAGTTAATACAGTATAGTTTATGTATCTGTTATGTTGTTTTGATAGAATGTATATTCATATGATGAACAACAAGAGCGCATGGAAAATGACGTAGTGATAAATGTAAAAGATCTAAAAGTTTGGACGCCAGAAGAGAAGTCTTGGTGGAGTCGAAAAGCCACTAAACACAAAACCGTCATTCTCAGTGAAGGTAAGAGCCAAGAAAAGGAGGCAGTTTTGAGCTTCTGGACCTACCGTAAATGGTTTAGGAATTCATCTTACAAGAGATGTTCCTTTCAAAATTGACCTGTGAGCGAGAGGAATTGAATCACAAGTTTTTCAAATCCTTATTTAGTATATACTATTCTTAAAGATGTAAATTTTCCAACTGCCTCAACGATTATAGAATGCCGAACAGATCTAGCATTCTATTATCGTTGAAGTAGTTGGAAGATTTATTTGGAGTGGGTCAAATGGTGTCAATCACCTTTTTCCAATTACTAAAATGTCAAGGTTGTATATGTATAAAACTAACGTTGACTAGCTGTCATCAATGATGTCTATTTCTGACTTCAAAAAGAAGAAGAGATTCTTAATTTAGTTTTTATTTGTTTATGATTGTTACCTCAGAACTCCGTTATACAAACCGAATGGATAAATTATTTTTCGTTTCGAAGGGTGTATTTCTCAATTGGTTCCAATTAATTTGCAGAAAAAAATCTTAGATCCAATCATCTTAGGCATTATAAATATGTATTTGTTTAGCTTGCTAACTTCTAAAGATTAAGGGTAGTTTTCTTTAAAGTTACAGGATGTATAAGAAGAAACGAATTTGCTGCTGTTATCGGTCCAAGGTAAATTTACAATTATGTCTGTTTAATACTCTCTGGAGAATACTGTATGTATACTACTATGGAGAAACGGGTGTCTTGTCTCTTTAACACAAAGGGAGGAACACAGGCGAGGGATTATGCCCACGGTTGTATTTATACTAATCGAGAACCGTCCGTGTGGTAATGGATTAAAAATACGGAGTACGTATTACCGCCCCTATTCATAATATGGGTGTCGTAGCAACCGACTTAAGGAGCAAACTACGCAGGGCAATAGCACTGCAAAGAGAAGGAAAACTTGAAACGAACTATATTCCGTTTGGCAAATAGTAGATCAAAACCTCATTTATAAGAAAAGACCCATTTCTAGCAGTTAACTGTTATAGGCTGTTGATGATGAATCGAGAACTTTTTTGCGCGATTCAGGATTAGTAGTTATTCCGTGGTTCGGTGTGTCTTCGTTAGAAGATATTGAAATAAGTTTTGTCATTATACATGATAGTCCCCACGCAACTTAATACTTACATTAAAATGTAATTCAAAACACATTATTAACTCGACTTGTTCAACTTAAGTATCGTATGATAACTATGTAATAACATTGAAATAAATTACATATTATGTCTTTTGACGTGGTTTTGCATTATTCAATTTATTGTTAATGTAATATCACTAGAATCTTACTTGGCAAGAATTTATTGCTGAATGTTGAATTGCATGCATGAAACTGGTATTGGTATATTAAAATTTGTTTTATTAATATATGTATTTTAAACTTAATGCACATGTTGTACCAAGGTGGACTTAATGCCATGGTGCATTCTCTCCTAGTCAACCTTCAGGTGATTAAGAAATATGACGCTTTAGATGCAAAAATAAATTATTAAATGTGTTATAGTAGAAGTCTAGAAGTATACACAATATATAATACATTGTTTGTTGACCGAAGATTTCGGTAGTGATTGGAGTATAAGAAACGAAAGTCGGGTACGAGGTATTCAGGTAACGACGGCGAGTTGAGAAAAGCAAAAGGGAAGTCAGTGCTCGCAAACTACCATTGCAACCATTGAAATTGGATTTAGAGCCATTGCAACTGGGAACGGAAAGCAGACACATACATGGTCAATTGGTCATACTTGCGAAGGTTACTACAGTTATTGAGAAAACCATCTAGTTTATTGAGAAAGTCTTCATTTAGGTCAAAATATTACCCAATTTATATTATTAGTCGATTAGGGGAATAATTAGGGACTGCATTAGCGTAGCCTTGAGCGAAGAAAGTTCTTCAGACGATATTAAGCGGGAAATATGTGGTGACTTTCTGGCAGACGTCATGTTCTTTACAACTGCACTCAAAGGTATAGTCACGATGTTTTAGACAACTGGTGGGATGACCTCCATACACAATCTTTGATACTGACACGTACATGTACACGGAGAGTTGGGTTACGTATATAAATGTATACATATATAAATGTTTTATACATGGTTGTTGTACAAAATTTTCTGGCTTCATTTGGAATACATGTCAAAACACAGTAAGTGAAATATACATCTTATGGTACCAAGACTAGGTGAATTAGCCGTTGTTGTCAATTACAAAGTTACTTTAATATAGACTTGGCTTTATAAAAATATTTTTGTTAAATTTATTCTCTTAAAAAAAGAATGCCAGTAACGTGGATCACACATTACTAGTATTACTTGGTACCCCATAGCTAAAGTAAATGCTTGCGTGTACTCCGACTTCCTAGCTAAACGCTAGCCCCGTTTTAATGTTGATTAATTGTAACAACATGTGGTGACGGATTGAGAATACGGAGAGTCACCACCCCTATTCATTATCTGGGTGTATTAGTTGACTAAGGGAGCAAACTCTGTAAGACGCGAGACGGGAATAAGAAATGGAAGAATGAGCAATGGAACTGAGACAGCAGTCCTTACCTTGAAGAGGTCAGGTTCGCGTACCCGTATGACCATACTGAGACTAAAGAAGCAACTACGGTCGGGTCATATGGGCTAGTTACGTTACAAAAATACCAAAAAAGAATCACATTACATCACATATTCATCAACAGCCCTTAATACTCCACTACTGGACATAGGCCTCGCCTTAAAAAGGAGGTTTGAGGCTATTACACAACGCAGGCCAGACGGGTTGGTATATAGGGTTTGTGTCAAGTTTTCCTTCTCTTTACGATTTAAGAAGAACATTAAGAATGCGGAATGTCACCACCCCTATACATCCCAAGGGTGTCGTAAGAGCCAACTAAGGGAGCAACTGTGCAGGACAACGGCACTGCAAAGAGAAGGAAAACTTGACAACCCTATACTAACCCGTCTGGCCAGCGTGGTATAGTAGGCCAAAGTCTCCGTTCTAAGGAGAGGTCTATGTTCAGTAGTGGACTACTAGATGATGATGATGATTGTAACAATAATTCCTGTTTCAGAATTCCAATGACTTTAATATTGAATTTCGTTGCAGTGGCGCGGGAAAAACAACCTTCCTAGTATCTCTGGCGGGTAAATGTACCTTACCTACCTCAGGCACAGTGACCCTGTTCGGTAGAAATGCCAAGGACTGCCCTGGATTGGCGGAGATCGTTCCACAAATGGAGGTCTTCATGGCCGGGCTGAGCGTCATGGAGCATTTGGTATTTATGGTCAGTTAGATTACTAGATATTACTTTTGTTGAGTTCCGCATCTGAATGTCAGGTTGTTATGTATTTGGGTCAAAAGGAATACATTTAGTGATGAAAATGTTAAGTATTATGTTCTGGTGAATGCAATTTATGGACCGTAATGTATCTGTCTACTAAAACATTCACTTCAGAACGAAGCAGTTCGCTACCTACTGCAAACATAGTCGCATGTTATTGAATCAATGTGAATATTTTCACATGATCATCACATCAACAGTCTTTAGATAAGATAAAGATTTTAATATAGACATTTTATACGTATGGATATTTAATTTATTTTTAAGTATTCTTTGAAGGAATAGGTAATTGATGGTCCTTACAAATTGGATGATGATGATATGACATGTTGTTTCAGACAGAAATGAAACTAGGCACCTGTAAAGAGCCACACATTTTAAGAACATTAAATGTTCTTCTTGAAGAATTGAAACTAAAGTCTCATAGACACACTCCTGTAGACGCATTGTCAGGTGGAGAGAAAAAATTACTATCTCTTGCCACTTCGGTAAGTATAATGTGCATGTAATGTTAGTAATCATTTGTATCTCTCATTAATCAGTTCCAATTTTGTAAATTCCATGCTTATAAATTGAATTGAGAATTTTGTCTAGGTGAGAAAGGAAAGCAATGGAAGGAATATTACTTAAACAGGTGGATTTTAAAATACAAGCAATAGCACATCATCTCCATTTTACACAAATACGAAAAACTTTACTCCATCAGTTATTTTCATAATTCCGAATTGTTCAAAATTCCCAATCAACTCCGATTAATCATTTTATAATTCAAAAATTTCAATATTCTTGACATTTATAATTACTATGCTCAAAATAAAAAGTTTCAATAAATCGAATAACAAAATTTCCGACTTAATGATAAATCGAAACAACAAAAATTAGAAATCTTTCTAACCTAACTTTACCCAAATCATTAACCAACTATAGAGGAAAAAAAACGGAACGAAATATGCGAGAAATTTGGCGTTTTAATGCTGGACATAGGCCTCTTCTAAAATGAAGTTTTGGTCTACTATACTAGGCTGGCCAGACGGGTGGTATAGGGTTTATTTCAAGGTGCTCTTCTCTTAACTGTGATAATGTCCCATGTAGCAATAGCGCGAGCACTATACATTCCTAAATTCTTATTTCTTATTGGTAAAAAGAGTCACAAATGCGTTGGCTTCCCTTGACAAACCTACCCACCCCCACCCCACCCCACTTCTCCCAAGAATTATAGGAAGAGAGGTAGATGCTGCCGGTATTCTTACTAAGTATGTAAAAGAAAGAACAACGAAATAGTTACTGAACACCGGTTTATCTTTGATGCCGTGGTTCCACTTCGGTCGATTCCACCACGATTTCCCGCATTCCTGTAAATCGAACTTCATCTAGCCAAGAATTTCAAGCCCTATAACAAGAACAAACAATTTCTGTTTCATAGCTCTTGTCGGACCCTAGAATACTTATCTGCGATGAACCAACCACAGGCTTGGATAGTTATAATGCTCTTCTAGTCATTGGAGTTCTGAAGAGACTTGCTCTTGGCGGTAAAGTCGTCCTGTGCTCTATTCATCAACCCTCCTGCGATATCTTTAAGGAATTCAGCTCAGTACTGTTAATGACTGAGGGTAGACTGCTGTTCCACGGTACACAGGATGAATGCGAGGAAGTGTTCGAAAGGTTAGTTAAAATGCCAATATATGTAGACATATATATCTAAATGTTGTTGGTGTCACCAACTCGAATAGGATATTAGCCCTATAGTTAAAACAAACTACTAAGCAATATTAAAACGAGTATACCATCTAGAAAAAAAATATTTCTTATTTTACATGATTTTTATGCTTTTAAAAATTTGTATTTAATTTGTAAAATTATGTAATAAGTAAGTTCATTAGTGCATTTTTTTAATTAGTACGTGAGTATCTAAGTACGAGCATATGCATAAACAAATTTAGTCACTTCTAAATCTGATGTATTTGTGAAATATGTAATAGAATGATATCACCTTGGGGCTTATAAATAGTATATGATGCAATCTAATATAGTTATAATTTAATAGAAATAAAATTAACAATTCAGTGAATGACGTATAAAATTCTAGTATTTTAAAATATTTATTTTTAAAACAAATATGACCTAACCTTGTTCTGATAAACAAATACTTAAATATTTCTAAATACATAAATATTCGACTGCACGGTTGGCGTAGTGGTTTAAGCGGACGCCACGAGTGTTGTGGGACCGATCTCCACATGGGACGACACTTTGTGTGATCCACAAATTGTTATTCTGAGTCTGGGTGTTCTTTGTGTCCGTTTCTTTATAAAGTCTTTTATCTTTTTAAAAATAAATAATATTATAGATAAATTACACCAAGACACCGAACCAATGATCGTGCTCATCACACAACTATTTGTCCTGGGTGGGAATCGAATCCACGATCCTTGGCTTAGCAGGCAGGAGCACCAAACACTAAACCAACGGGCCAGTATATATGTATTACCAATATTTTCATTTAGTCATTTTTTAACAGAAGTCTTCTCCAACCGTGTTGTAGTACCACTCAATTTTTATTCGTGTTATATCAGGGTCTCTATTTATTCATCAACATCCTTAATAGTCCTCTGCTGGAAATAGGCCTCTCCTTCGAATGGAGGTTTTGGCCTACTACATCACGATGGCCATACGGGCTGGTAAAGGGTTTGTGTCAAGTTTTCCTTCTCTTTCAAAGAGACTCTTTGCGGTGCCGTGCAGTCAATTGATTCAAATTCGAATTTCTGATTTGTCTGACGGAAATTGTTTTAATTAACAGCATAGATCTCCATTGTCCACTGAAGTACAATCCGGCTGAATTCTATATAAGAGCAGTTTCGGGTAACAGTGATAACGTTCAAAGACTACTGTCTCTCTCTGAAAGGAGGTCGGATGTGATTGCTGTTAATATCGTTGAACAGATATTTTGTAAAACGTAAGTAACATTATTTTTTATGTAAGGCTTCATTGAGCGTCTTAATTTTTGTATGTAATCTTAATATTAGTGATGTATCTGTATCTGAGGTTTAAAAAAGGTCTTCTGTTTGTAATCGTTACTTTTCTTACATTATCTCATTGATATTTTAAGATAAGATAAAAGAAATAAATTTGTCCCCTTATTTGAACATTTTTTATTGATGCTCTTTTAGGTCGTAGCGTGATGTAGCCTTCCTCGTGAAATAGACTTTCCGGTACTAATAGAATTTTTCAATTCAAACCAGTAGTTTCGGAGATTAGCACGTTCAAACAAACAAACTGTTCAGCTTTATAATATTAGTATAGATCACGCCAGGTCCGCAGAACGGATCTAAATGAAATTTGGTACAGATATACATTTAAGTCCGTTATAGTCTAGAATAATAGAATAGAATAGGTTACTTCTTTGCAAAGAATTTTGTTCTCAAAATAACCATCAACGAGAGTAAAACCGCGGGTGAACCCTTATTAAGTATATGTGTACTTAGAAAGGATATAAGGATACACACTGCTGGTATTCTTGTTAACCCCAGCTAAGCTAAATGCTTGTTAAATAGAAGTAGGTTCAAGACTGTAGTACGTGTGTGTCTCTGCTAGGGTTCGAACCCGTAACCAATTGATCGCAAGTCCAACCAAGTCATTGAGCTACATTACGTAATATATTTAAATCTAAGCAGATTTTGCACAAATTAAATATTTAAATCTTAAATAAGGTGTGAGATCTGATAATCTATACAATAAAATGAAATGTAATCTGTTTATCAGTCAATAACCTGAATTCGTTCTAAATCTGTGTTGAGAATCTATACAAATAAATAAAATTGAAGTGTCTGTTTCTAATGTCAAAATAATAGGGTTTTTCATGATCACACGGTTATATGCACGATACTATACCTAAAAACCAGTTTAAAAAATTTTTTTGTCTGTCTGTCTGTCTGTTTGGTTCGAGTAATCTTCAAAACGGTTGGACCGATTTAGGTAATATTTTGTTACCGGGTAGCTGTCTATATAAGGAGTAACTTATGCTATTTTTTCTCTCAGAAAAACCCTATAAAATTTTGTCTGCTCCGGGAATCGAAACCACTAACCGCTTTTCAAATTCCACGCATACGAAGTTTAAATAAGCAGTTTTGTTATTTCAATTATTTTACAAGTCTTGTGTGAAAAAACTATTATAACGAATTATACATATTTAATGTCTTCAGAACACAGAGGAACTGGTTCCAGCAGGTACATCTGCTGTTATGGAGGCTGTCGTTGACTATGAAAAGAGGTTTATGGAACCAAATAATACAGTTATTTATTTCCGTGGTAAGTTTTTTAAACTTTATAGCTTTTTATTTAAAATGTATGAAAAGAAGTATAAGCCTAGATTACGATACTGCCTGACCTATCGGATAAACCAGGCCTTATAACGGGTTAATGGTTAGTGACCCTGATTGCAAGAGGTCTAGCCAGAGGTCGTGGGTTCGATTCCAGACTCAGGACAAATAGTTCTGTCATAAGCACGATCATTTGTTCTGTATCTTGGTGTAATTTACCTATAATATGTATGTATTTAGTGATATAATGTTTATTAGCAGTCTGGTTACCATAATAAAGCTTCGTTTGAGGTCAGACGACCGTCTGTAAGATTTTATTTTATTACGAGCTTACGGCTAAATTTACAATATACATATGATGTTAATTTTGTAAGTGCCACTTACAAGCTTCCACATGTAGAAAGAAGACAGTGCTGATATCTAAATCAAATACATACTAAAATTTAATATACATGGATTATTACAACAATTTAGGATCTAAAGACACAATATTTTTGTAATTATCATTGCACCAAAAGTTCTACTAAGCCGTGTGGTGATGGATTAAGAATACAGAGTGTCACCACCCCCATTCATCCCTTGGGTGTCGTAATGGGACTATGGGATATTGCAGGTACGTCATGACTAACATAATTTAAGTAGTAACTGTATAGCAAAGTAAAGTGTATGCCGGTTGAATGGTGTCTGTCTGATACTTTAATTATTATATACTTTACATTTTCCGTGTAGATTGAGAATACAGAGTGTCACCACCCCTAACCCCTGTTATGAGCATATTAGTATAACAGGGGTTAGGGGTGGTGTATCCACACATTAAGGGCGCAAACTGCGCAGGACAACAGCACTGCAAAGAGAAGGAAAACTTCAAACAAACCCTATACCAACCCGTCTGGGCAGCGCGGTATAGTAGGCTAAAACCTCCTTTCTAAGGAGAGGCCTTTGTCCAGCAGTGGACTAGTAAATGTTGATGATGATGATTGGTGCTACTGCAAAATAGATTCATGAGTTTATTATGGTTTGGTCTATTAAACGACCTGAAAACTCTTGGTGGGTAGCTACAGGTAGGTAGGATGTGTGAGGTTATTATTATTCTTAAATCAATGTCTTCTTCCCCAGGTTATCACGGCCATGGTTCTCGCCGTGGCTTACGCAGGTGCTTCAGGTACCAACCAACGAGGAGTCCAAGACGTCCGAGGGTTGATATGGCTCATCACCAGCGAGGTTTCTTTCGGCCTGTCGTATAGCGCCCTTTACGCATTCGAAAACGAACTGCCGTTGTTCAAGAGAGAAGTAGGAATGTACAAATGCTCCGCCTACTTTGTATCAAGGTTTTTAAGCTTCGTAAGGATGTTTTGCCATTTACTTTGAGTCTTTTCGAGTCGGGGGATAGGGTGTGTTATTATGAAGGTAATAGTTGGATATTTAATTTTAAAACCGATCCGAAAAAGAAATGTCAAGTCTAGTACTGATTTAAAAACCATTTTCATATGTTTTATAAATAAACATAGATAAGTATAGTGGTAAAATGTAGAAAGTAATGCCATTTATATGCTTTGTTTGGATTATTTTTTATTGAAACTGATAGTAACCAGTAGGTAGTTACTTTTTGTTTCCTGCGCACTATATTCAAACACAAATATTTAAAATGTAGTTAATAAGTTCGACAGTCAGGATTAAGCTCGTAACTTTACATTATTGCTATTTTATTATCCTCATTGACCGGTTTACCTTGAACTATGGTCTCGGCATGTAAACATACATAGGTACAGATAGGTATATGTATATTAGATGCCTGCAGCTTTAAGTGGGCGCTTTCGCGTAATTTTTAAAGTTATTCATAATTTAAAATAGTAATGAAAATTGTAACTTATTGCACTTCTACTACAAACAAACTTTAAATAGTCAAATACTCAAATACGTACATAAAAATCTCTTTATTAACACGCTTTCGCTTCGCGGCCCACTTCAAAACGTCGAATTAGATTGAAACTTCGCACGCTTATTAAGGACCGATGACAATATAATCATTTGATAAATATGACCGATTATCCTGACCAAGATCTTTACGATTAACGGATTTTCCATACCTAAAAATACGGTAGTGTTTTAAAGCTACATATTAAAAGGCGTATGCTGAAGCATCTGTGGCTTACTTACTTGTTACTTTTTTAGTCTTAATGAGAAAATAATCATCATTAATGACTAAAAAATAAAAATAATTTAGTTCGGCTAGTTAGCAAAAGCATGCTCTTTAGTTTTTTTAACTATAATGTATGTATGTATACATAAGACCAAAAAGACCACCTTAAACACCGGCAACGCACTTATGATTCTTGAGTTTTACATTCCATCAATCAGAGGGCCGTGTGCAAGTTTATTTTACATCGACTCCACAGAGTAGGTACTACGTTCAATATTAAACTTGCTCTCGACGGCGAGCGCGTTTAGCATTGCGATTGGTTTAGCTTTTAGTGCTGGCCAATCGTAGCACTTAGCCGTCAGAGGGCCTAGTGCCAAGTGAGTTTCACATCACACATCAACAGCCTTTAATAGTCCTCTGCTGGACATAGACCTCTCCCTAGAAAGGAGGTTTTGGCCTACTATACCACGCTGGCCAGACGGGTTGGTATAGGGTTTGTGTCAAGTTTTCCTTCTTTTTGCAGTGCTGGTGCCCTGCGTTGTTTTGCGCCCTTAGTTGGCTCTTACGACACCCACGGGATGAATTGGGGTGGTGACATTCCGTATTCTTAATCAAACATAATAAATAAATACTGGACAAAATAAATATATTATATAATCTGACAAAAACTAATCAAAACACTCTCTTTAATAGATACCGCGCTTTACTAAATTACCAGCGACATTAATTTACTGAATCTATATATCTAGTTACGACAACTATGATTAAATAAATAATTCAAATGATAAATTAAACTTTTAAGAACGTTATACATAAAAGAGTTGATTAATTGATTCAAAACAACTTGACAAAACCACATGTCAATGAGCTATTGCGAGATAAAAACTCGTGGCGTTTGAGCATATTAGGTACAAATCGCACGAGTTTTTATATCTCGGCAATCCTAATTGTTGCCCGTGTGGTGACGGATTAAGAATACAGAGTGTCACCACCCCTATCCATCCCGTGGGTGTCGTAAGTGCCGACTAGGGGAGCAAACTCTACAGGACAAAAGATCTGCAAAGAGAAGGAAAACTTGACTCAACCCCTATACCAAACCCGTCTGGCCAAAATCTATTTTCTAAGGAGAGGCCTATGTGCAGCCAGTGGACTGCTAAAGACTTTTGAATTGTAATTGTAAATGCAAATGAAAGGTTGTTTGTTACACTAACTCGCACGTGGGCAATCATTATTAAATTTTACAGACGCATTGTCAGAACAAAAATAGGTAGAACAAAATTAGCTAGGTCGAAGAAAGCGAGTGCAAAATATTGAAATGACCAAAATTTACAGAGAAAATCGACATTAGGTTAATACACAATTCATTTATAAGTATACCCGCCTAAATAAACAATTATGTTTCAAGCCGGTTCATAAATGGCGGATTTCTGAGTCAACAAAGATTTAAATATAGATAATGTCAGCAAAAATATACAATAAGCTTCCAGATACACATAAAAAACTAGAAACTGCTTTGGGTATTATAAATCAACTTAGTCTCTCGATAAAAAATTGTTACTACAATATCAACGAATAACTGCACAGATATACCTAAATTCTTAAAAGTACAGTAAAGTGAAAAGCTATTTTAAATAAATATAGTTATTTTCCACACTTATATTATGTGAAAGTGAATTTATTTCTTACGCTTTCACGCCTAAACCACTTAACCGATTTTGTAAATTCTTTCAGTAATGGAAAACTACTTAATCAGCGAGTAACATAGGCTACTTTTTACCGCGATAACCGACATACAAGCAGGCGGAGCCGCGGCCATAAGCTAGTAGAATATAAAATGATGGTAGTACTTTGTTGTGTCACTACCAACTAAGTATACATTGTGGAACGCAAGAAAGTTTTATTTTTAAATTGCAGACGAGTCACCTGATGGAAAGTGACATCGTCGCCCATTATCGTCTGCAACTAAGGAGTCACAAACGCGTTGCCGGCCTTTTAGGAAGGAGTACGCTCTTTTCTTGAAGGGTTGAAGGTCGTATCGGTCCGTATTATTTTTTTAATAATTCTTTTTTTTATCAGGTTCCTCGTTGTATTGTGTGGCCAGTAACTCTTGTGACAGTGACTTCTCTAGCCGTGGACTTACCCAATCACATGCTGACAGCCTTCGAGTTCATGGTTACTTTATGCATCAGCACCATACCTGGTGTTGCCTATGGTAGGCATTGAAAAGTTTTTTTTTAATGGCATTTACAACAATGTGACTAACTAGACAAAAGAAATGTGTTAATTGAAAATGTAAAATTATAATTTTTTAACAAATAATAACATAAAACCGTAGGTAATTAAGTGAAAAATGCCTTCCTGTTACATACTTCCTTCTTTACAATTAATAAGAGAAAAGATGTAAAACATCAAAAATAAAGAAAATCGGTTAATCAACACAGAAGAAAAAAAAACAACTATTTTTTTACGTCTATTTATATTTTATTGACCAGTAAAACTTACACTCTCTGTAAAGACTTTTGTACCATGGCCCATGAAAAAAAATCCCTATACTTTTATTTATTATGTATTTTTTACACACGTTAAGAAACAAAAAGATGAGTTACAATGATGTAGAGATAACAATCGGTCGTCTTATCGGCAATTTCTTACAGACAAACTTACAGTCACACTTTTTGACTTTATAACATTTCGGTGTTTTCTATCTAAAATATATATGTATTTACAAAATAATAAGTATTCCATCAGTCAATCCAGCTTTCATAGTACAAGCTCTGCTTAGTTTAAAACTAGATGGCGTTGTGTGTCAGATGTCCGAAAATATTATTATAAAAAAAAAACAATATGCACTATATTGTTTAAGAATGTTAGCTTTCTCGACCTTTTTTACCCTTCTGTGTCATATTTTTTTTAAATGGGGTATCTTTAAGGAATTTTCTTCGTGTGTCAATACATAGATAAACCTAATTTAACTGTTCTGTCTTTAAGGGTTAGGTATGGCCGCTCTCTTCACGTCAACAGGCATCATGGGCGACGTGATGCCGTGCGTAGACTTACCGTTGTTCCTCATGTCTGGAGCTTTCCTTCGCATTTCATCTCTTCCCGGCTGGATGAACACCGTTAAATACATCTCGCATTTCTACTACGCTATGGATGCTATGAGCAATGTGTATTGGAGACAGATTGATCATATTGGTAAGAATTAACACAACGTAAAAAACTTAACATTTAGTCATTTAAGTTTAATTATATCAATACCTGGTAACACTATTCAGACTTAATCTAAAAAAAAAACTGGTTTGTGATCCTAATTGCTAAGCCAGGGGTCGTTGGTACGAAGATGCGAAGGATCATTTGTTTTCAGCGAAAAGCTCGTTTTAAATAAAATAGTCGAGTTTTTACTTTAACAGGTGTTAAAGTAAAAACTTTCTTAAGTAGGTAGTTTATTAATTTTTAATGATGCTTTTACTTCCTGTTTATATTTTGACATTTTCCTTTTTTTCTTATATTTTTATTTCTTTAAAACTTCCACTACAACACAATAAGCAGCTTGAGAAACTTCTGTTTCGCACAGCCTGGTTTTTCGACCTTCGCAAAAAGCGTGTAGCCCCATGGCCGACAACACACTTGGGATTTTTGAGTTGGAGATGTTTGGGCAGTGGTAGTCATCTACCACTAGGTGAACTCTCTGCTCATTTATGCTGACTACATTATACGGAGAATGATTTAAAATATATTTAACAGTAAATACTGCATTTATAGGCTTTAAAAATCGTACAGACGACGACAGAAAACTCTCGTGAATAACGTAAAACGACGTTAACGAAGTTAGTTACGATAATGGCTTTCGGAACTTGGTAGCTAATTTGATATTGAAATTATTTTAACTTACGATCTTATAATTTTATTTTGTAAAAAGAACAACAACATCACAGACCAAGGGTTCCGTAAGAAAATAAACTTGTATGTAGAAATTCGTGAATGTAAAACGTCTACCCGTTTTTTGCCATATTCTAAACAGTAAATGTTTGTAATTGGCAACATTAAATGTTGTATCGACGGACAGGCGTATTATCTAACAGGCAGGCGTACCGACCGACGGACAGGAGAACAGGCGGACGACAAAGGTGCCTTTTTTCTTTCTCGGAACGGAACCCTCATATGTTTACTATTAATTGAATACTAAATTTGTACCGACACTGGCACTGATTAATGTTATAGATGTAACGATAAAATGATAAGATTGCCATCAGCACAATAAAACTCACATTAAAATGCAAAGTGATATTTATACATACATTATATATAACATAATCGATGCGAAAAAATATATTTTATCTTAGCATGATATTTTAAACTATTCATCCTAATCAAACTTTACGAGCAATTACCCTTTTTTTTTCCGTGCGGAAATCCCCTCGGATACCACCTAGCGGTGGCATGTCGGACTCGAACCGACTAAAACCGCACGCCGTCTCGGGTACTAATAGCCGGGGAACCAGGTATACCCTAGAAAGGAAGTCCCTGGTGACGAGCAATTACCCTGAATGTAACTAAAATTCTACTTTTTGTTTTCAGATACCTTTCAACTAACTAATTTTACTACTAGTTGTAACATTAAGTAATAATCGTAGCTTTAAACAAATTTTTAAAACTAAGTAGTACACTTAATTGAAGTAGTTGCATCATTTTAAACAAACTATCTAATATTCCATCAGTAAATATGTCAGGGCTTCTCAGAATATCACGAGATTTATGATGATGATACAAAGCGTAGGAAGGTTAAAACATCGAAAACATTTTAAAGCAAGACAAGATAAATGGTAGACTTATCTAAGAGTTAAACTTTGAAAGCTCTGGGAAAAAAAATTGAATGTAGGAATATAATGCAATTATTGTTGTTATTATTATCGATTTGCTTCAAAGAATCAAAGTGCAAAGAATCAAAACAGCCAGATATTGTATTCATTATTTCTTATGCATTTTCTGTAATAGTTTTAGGCAACTCATTATTTCGGCGGCTGTGTGCTGCTCCATATTTTTTTAACATTTTTTTTAATCGGTTATTTTGACAGATTTGACAGATCAACAGCTATGATCTGTTTAAAAAATAAAAGGCATTAAACTTGAATTCTTAACAAGCAGCTAACATAAACGCACTTGTCTGTTATACTTCATACTACATACCGTCAGATTAAAAAAAAATGATCTTTAGAATTTATAAGCCAAATAGGTACCTATGATATGATTTAAAAAGTCTAAATACGATTTATCCTTTAATTTTAAGATTTCTCTCGTGCTTTTATTAGACATGTACAGTACATACGTACATTGAAATAATAGTTAAATACGGATCTGTTTAGGCTTACAAGTTTAAATAAACATCATTAATTGGCTTCAGATCATTTATTACATATAGGCAGATTAATGTCTAATACAACACTTCCAAAAATGTGAAAAAAAGAAGTGGTTTTAAAGATAATTATGGTACTTAGTGACCTCTAGCTGAGATTTGAACTCAAGGCCTTCAATTTATTAAAAAAAAAAATCACTTAAGCCAATGTATTAACGCCGAGCGCTGTCACCTGATGCATTAACGTCAAGCTTATTATTGTAATCACGTGATATTAAATATATATTAAACTAGCTGACCCGCGCAACTTCGTCTGCGTCTCTCAATAGTAATAAATTTTCTCCGTTTTTGAAACATTCTTCATTGGTGCTCCGCTCCTATTGGTCTTAGCGTGATGATATATAGCCTTTAGCCTTCCTCGATAAATGGGCAATCTAATACTGAAAGATTTTTTCAAATCGGACCAGTAGTTCCTGAGATTAGCGCGTTCAAACAAACAAACAAACAAACTCTTCAGCTTTATAATATTAGTATAGATAAGGCCACAAATATTTTATGTTGTTTACACATTGTTTAGCTTATTTCTTGTGCTTATTTTTTTGCATTGCATTTGATTGATATATATTTAAAAAGAAAACAGGATTAACTAAATATCAGAATGCAATAGCTTAGATTATTTATTTATATTCTAAGTCCGACTGTTAGTTTGTTTCATAATTATTATAAAAATACTTGAAAAAAAATACGTAAACGGAGGTGCTAACATAAGCCACTTGAAAATATATGTTATAATATCTACCTATATAATATAAACAATTTAAAAAAATACCCCATACAATAGTAATTTAACCTAATTAATCACGCTTAATTTTATTAACAATCGTGTATCATATGAAGATTGTTTTTAAAAACTACCATAATTTCTAACACAAATGTTTTATTCATTTTTGTTCCATGTCATCATGTTTTTACACTATATATATACCTTCTTATATATATATGTGACAATTTAAAAACACAGATAAATTTCATTCATAAATAAATAAGCCTTACACAAAATACATATAGACCAGGAAAAGGAGGGTTTAAAAAAAAAAGCCAACGTAACTCCTTTTCCAAATTTTACGAACGCTAAGCTGATTCTTTCTTCATTTAAATTTTACTTTCTAAAACTGAAGGCCATAGACACAGGTCTATGTAAAGCGACGCAAAAAAAGAACCTCACACATCTGTGTGTGAGATGTGTGAGGTTCTGATCCCGAACTGGGCAGGGCCTGTACTATGGTAACCCAGCAGTCTGGTCGTTAACCTTACTTACTTACTTAGACATTTCTAAGTAAATAAATAAATTACATTACATTACACGTTACAGAGAAATTACACCCAGACTCAGAATAAAATTAGCGTGTTTTCACACAATATTTGTCCTAGGTGAGAATCGAACCTGGCTTAGCAGTCAGGGTCACTAACCATCAGTCCAACAGGCCAGTCGAAATAGATAGTAATGTGTAATATGTCCCATACTATTATTATTACATGGTCACAAAACACTATGCTATATTAAATTTAAATTTATTCCACCCATACGCCAAAGAGGCCGGACACAAAAAGACTGGGATGTCACATCTTAAAGATAACCATAGATACCTATTTAATATTTAGTTTTTATTTCCAGAATGTCCGTCAAATCAAACGTCGTGCGTCAAAGATGGCGCCGCAGTATTATTCGAGAACGGATATTCAGAAGACTTCATAGTACAGGATATATTGGGCGTTGTTTTTGTCACACTGTTCTGGTCTCTCCTAGGTTATTACGGTTTGAAAAGAGAAGAAAAAAAGGGTTATGCTTATTAAAATCTTTGCCTAATATATAATTTTTTATATTTTTATATATATATATTTTTATATTTTAATATAACAGACAACGCCCGCATTAGGAATAAATCCTGTGTCGCGGGGGACTTTACAAACATAAATGAAACGGACACAAAGAACACCCAGACTCAGAACAACAATTTGTGGATTACACAAAGTGTCGTCCCATGTGGGGTTTGAACCCACAACACTCGGCGTAGTAGGAAGCGGCGTGGCGACTGCTTAAACCACTAGAAGTATAAATTTAAAACACCCAAGTCTTTTAAATCCCTTTAACGAGTAGAACTGATTAATCAAATGACAAGAGAAATTTTCGATTACACTTCAAACGATAGATTATTGTTTGAAAAGGTTGAATTAAAGGACAATGGCAGCAATGAATGGGACTTTCGTACCGCCGTGCGTATCTCATGGTAGGGATTACTGTTGTATTAACTAAGAAGTTTTTGCGAAAATCTACTTAAAATCTGGGTAGGTACGGAACCTTCGCGCACGAGTTCGACTCGTACTAGACCGGTTTTTTATAGCTTTGGCTGAAATATCTACAGAAGGTTCATCTTTTATGATTATTAATTTGCTTCTGCCCACGGGTTCACTCGTACGGTAGAGTGACTAAATCAACATAATTAGAAATAATTTAGAATATTATTGACTCTCTTTAAACGATTTTTGCTACACTAAATAAATACAATATAGTTACATTATTTTCCGACGGAAAAAGTAATAGACTACACAATGTGAAGAGAAAAATTGTTTGGATCCTGTCGAGTTCCGCACTCACCAGTCTTGTCGTTTGACACTCACACGACCATTGTTCACACGGCAATTGTAGTTTGTTTGGTTGTTTTATTTTTATTCATTTTAGTGTTAAACTCACATAGATGTTTTTCTATTTTTAATTTCATATAGTGTTACTCTATTATGCATGACAACCCTATTTCGCTGTAGCGCCCCTTATAGCCCCCCCCCCCCCCTCTCTTCAGCGTTTGAAATTAATAACTTCAACAACTTACAAATATTTATAATGGTTGGCATTTTTCATGATTGGGACACAACAATAATAAATTGGTGTGGAACCCTTTAATAAATTTGCACTCTTTAATATCTTTCACGCAATAACTTTTCAACGTGCACTGCATGCTAGGCGATTTTCTTGAGCAAGTTTTTAACCGATATAGATCCGAGGCTGCTTAATAACCTACAGAAGTTAAAATAAGAATCTTAATCTTGATACTTTGCATATTTATTGAAATGAATCATGGCGATTAGTATTCATTTAATAGAACACACATGCTCATGCACACGCTCGAGGCTTACAGTTGTATCTACACAACCTTACACATATGTATATGTATGTCATTTTTATTTAGTAGTTCAATGCCATTCCTATGCGCGACTTTATTTTTGTAATTCGTTATATTACTACTAGATTTTCCCCGCGGCTTCTCTTCAATAATGATGAAATAAATAATAAATAAATAAATAATATTTATGCTGTCTTTATTACTCTCCTTAGGAAGTAGACGAATATAATTTTAAGCGCAGTGCTGGAGGTGACAGTTGAGGCCATCTGTCACTCTATCAGAAGCAGGCCGGGGTGGGTGCAGTAAGTGAACATCGGGGTTTCAACACGGGGGGGGGGGTCCATCTATAAGCCGTAGATGGTCCCCCCGCATGGCAAGGTACGTCGGGGTACCAGGGCTTTCCTTTCTAGGGTTTACCTGGTTCACCGGCTACTGGCACCTGGAGACGGCGTGTGGTTTTTAGTCGGTTCGAGTCCGACAAAAACCACACGCAAAGGGTCACAAAAAAGGGTCTGTCAACCCCCCGAAACGAACGAAATATAGCCAGTGTCGGAAAAAAGGCTTGTTACAAATTTTTCGGTCTCGCTCTCATCCACTCAGAGCGTGTAACGCTCGATAAAGAACTTCGTTCCAAAATCAATTGAATATTAATTAAGCTGTTTTTGAACTTACTAGTACACTAATTGTAATAAAATTCTTGGTCAATCAACTTATATCTATAAGTTGATTGACCAGGAAATTTTACACAAGTATTACACAACTATAAATAAAAAACTTAGGTTTGAACACCTACGTGCTACATTTATGGGCTAAGAGAGTATTGAAATAGCTCGGTTGATACTTATGTCAGGAAATCTTGTCATATGTATTTACCTAAAGAAGACAAAAGGAGGGCTGTGTCGTTAAATTTGTCTTAATTGTGTGTCACTGGGTTCATGAAAAATGTAAAAATAAAAATCGCTGGTTGTTAAATTTTAGCCATACATTTTAACGAAAAAAGAAAGAAAAAAATGTTTATAATTTTTTTCAACCATTATTTTTTTACATCTGCCAAACTGCAGGACAGTTTGTTAGCAAACGTAGCTCTTTGTTAATTCAATCTTTATTTTTATTCAATACATATAACATCTTTTCTTTAACTACAACATGAAAAAAACTGTTTAAATATATATTATACCTTAACACCTATGACATATTAATATTTAGGTACTCAAGAAGGTACTTCAAAAATATAACAAATATCCTCTGGCAGGCTATTTAAAGTTACGACTAAATATTTACTGAACCTTTGCCCATTGTAGTTATTACAAAGGTAGGTACTTCAAATTGCTGCTTACCTATCCTTTAAGATCTTTCCCGTGTTATTGCACGTCTATATTCATCCCTTACATTATGATCCAGTGCAGCAGCACTGACTTTTCAGGTACTGGTAGCACTTTACACCCACAGAATGATTTTTCATAATTGCTATTTTTTTTGCGCAGCCTAGTAGGTTTATCAACTAACAATTTTAAAAACCTGATTTGTGGCATTTTTATTTGTTCTAAATATATAAAATACTATATATAGAAATACTCTGAGGTAAGTTATGCATGTATCCACAGATACGATATAGATGGTACTCATACTATCTATATGTGTATCTGTGTACCAGAGTCTTTTGCTGTAGTTTTCACAAACTTTTTTTTACAAAATTAAATATTTTGTTAATAACTTAATTGTTTTAAAAAACTTTATAGCTCTCACTTGAAGCTTGTCAATCAATTTTTGGTTGTTAAAAAGTAGTCTATGTGCTATGGATATCTTTTTTTGTTTTTTAAAAGACAACTCCGCACTACGAATAAATCCTATGTCGCGGGGGACGTACGCATTCATGTAACGGACTCAAAGAACACCCAGACGCAGAAAATCAATTTTTGGATCACACGAAGTGTTGTCCCATGTGGGGATCGAACCCAGAGGTAATCGCTTAAATCACTACGCCATCCGTGCAGGCAAATTCGTATTCCTATCTATATTTTTTTATAAAGAGCAATGAGCAGGTAGATTTTGACCATGCCCTAAATGACATAGTCCAAAGGGCTCTTATATCCGCCAATGTACCCTGCGTGCTGGAGCCATCGGGTCTCAGCAGATCTGACGGGAAGCGGCCGGATCGCTTGACTTTGGTGCCGTGGTAAAACGGCAAGTGCTTGGTATGGGACGCTACATGCGTTAGCACAGTCGCGGCCTCACATCTGAGTCGCACCGTCCAAGCTCCGGCGGCGGCGGCGGAGGATGCCGCTAGTAGGAAGCGATCAAAATACGCCGCAATGGAGACGCATTATTATTTTGTGCCTATTGCGGTGGAGACTTTGGGAGTTAGGGATAAAAGTGGTGACTCCCGCTGCGGCACGTTTCTGGTGCAAAGGATGTCCGTTGCAATTCAGCGAGGCAATGCTGCCAGTATCATGGGCACCTTTGCACCGGGAGCGACGCGGGGCTGTGTATGTACTGAAGAATGACTTTCCTAAGTTTTCTAAATAATAATAGGTTTCGTTTTAAACTGCTAAGCTTAAAAAACTAAATTGTCCATAAAAATATTTATTTGTATATTTACAAAATGTACCTAACCAAATGTGTTGTATTGAATTATGTATTGAATATACACGGGTGTCCCTTTACTTCTTTTAACAACCATGGCATACGCACTACATTACCCAAAACATACAATGTCATGAGCCAGATACAATTCCTCCAGCAATTGTCTTCATGGTACCCAAAATTCGTCAACACACCAGCACCTGTTCGAATACATGGCATCCTAGAAGCCTCCATACAATTTGTAGCATCAACTAAGTTCCATTAAAGAAGTGAAACGCATTCAGTTCCATAATAGAAACCAGAAATGTATCGAAGCCAGGAGAAGTGAGGTGACCAAGTTCAGGTAGATACCGGAAAACATGAGTCCTAATAACGGTTTCAAAATACAAATACCTATGAATTAAGCATACTACCAAAATTCTAAGAATGTCGATGGCGGCATCGGTTTCTGAGAACTCGGAGAATCTTCGGAATTTTGATACTTGGTATTTAGATAATAGGTGCCGATACCGGTATTTTGGACTCAAGAAACAAAAATTTGTTAAATGATTTGATTGTACGTTTTATTTAACTATTATTGAAATATGAACTCTAAAGTGATAAACTTGATATTCAATATTAATTGTGGTTCGAGGCCGACATAACCACCGGTGGAATATACGAGGGGAATTCCGCACAGAAAAAAAAAGGAGTGTACACCCACTTCAGTTTAAACTCACATAACGAGTTAATTGTACTCGTAGCAGCAACATGCGCGTCCAATAATGGATATCAATGATAATGAAACACGTAATACATCTAGAAATATCTTTGTGAAAAGAATAACTTAGAAAATTGATTTTTATCTTATTATTACGCACAAACTTTTGTGGTTTCATGATGTGGCATGTCATCAATTTGTCTTGTTATAGCCATGGACCATCGGATATAAACTTCTGAGAAATGACCGTAACAGCTCTCTATAGCACTTCAAATCACATCACATCAACAGCCTATAATAGTCCACTTCTGGACATAGGCCTCTCCTTAGAAAGGAGGTTTTACTATACCACACTGGCCCGACGGGGTGGTATAGGGTTTGTTTCAAGGTTTCCTTCTTTTTGCAGTGCTGTTATCCTGTGCAGTTTTTTCCATTAGTTGGCTCTTACGACACCCACGGGATGAATATGGATGGTGACATTCCGTATTCTTAATCCGTTACCACAAAGAAATATATATTATATGACACTAGCTAACCCACACAACTTCGTCTACGTCTTTCAAAAGGAATACATTTGCCCTGGTTTTGCCACGTCTTCATTGATGCGCGGCTCCTATTGGCCGAAGCGTGGTTTATGGTCTTTCGCAATAAATGGACTTTCCTTCCTTTAAGAGAATTTTTTAATCACAATCAGCATTTCCTAAGATTAACACGTTCAATGAAAAAAAAATTTTCAGTTTTCAATATTAGTACAAAAAGTGCAATTTTGCCTTTGTCCTTCCAAAGCTTGCGCCATGTTATCTTTAATTTTGTTTGGGCAAAAAGGATTTTGTCATGGACATAATATGCTGAGAGTATCTGGATATTCCCGCGACAAAATTTCCTTAGGAATGATATATTTAAACGAAGAGGGTTTAGTCAGGAGCTGTGTAGTAGGATAAATAAATCACACATATTCCAATCTTGCTGTATTTATTGTGACTATAGTCATAACTCTATAAAAATAGAAAACTATGAACGATAAGTAACAGTAGAAAAATTAGCACAGTAAGTCCTAGATCATGACCGAGGTTATATTATTAAGGGATCGTCTATTAATCACATGCGGAATAAGGTGAAAGTGAAAGGGGGGGGGGGGAGTACGGGGGGGTTTCCGGAAAAAGTCACAAGGTATTATTAGGGTACATTACATTAGGTAGATTAGGATGATAACATATCCTTTTTCGTGTATGATTTTCACATGATCGCACCTATGTTTGATTAATTTTATACCAGAAACAACCTGCAATTGTATTCACTGTCCGGTCATCGCAGTAGTAATCTCTCTTAAATTAAATTACGTCTGTATAAAACATTAAAATTTAAATTAATATAATGTAAATTATTATGCGTGTGGTGACGGATTAAGAATACAGAGTGTCACCACCCCTATTCATCCCGTGGGTGTCGTAAGAGGCGACTAAGGGAGCGAAATACGCAGGACACCAGCACTGCAGAGAGAAGGAAAAGTTGACACAAACCCTATACCAACCCGTCTGGCCAGCGTGGTATAGTAGGCCAAAACCTCCTTTCTAAGGAGAGGCCTATGTCCAGCAGTGGACTATTAAAGGCTGTTGATGATGATGATGATTGATGAAGTTTTCGAAAGAAAAAAATACACTTGATTTTGGAAAGGGGGAAGGGAAAAACAGAAGCTAAAAAAATACCATGATTATTGGGTGATCCCTTACATATTACATGCATATCTTTACACTCTGCTGATTGCAGACCTCGGTTTAGGTTTATTCATATTTCACAATAGAGCCAAGTGGTTTGTTAATTAGTAAAATTACCTCAAAATGAACTGTTTTGGAGGTCTAACTGTTTTTTTACGACTAATCACCATTAAAATCAGTTCTTTTGTCAGACTTGTGTCTTCATTAATATACTCATATCATACGAAATTAAATTATGTTAATATTATTCATTTTCATGCGTCACCTAGACTGGGTGAGTCTGTGATTTAAATATAGATCAAAATTGAATAAACGCTGTAAATCCTTGAATTGAAGGGTTCAAGCAAATAAAGTTCGCTGAGCCGTCATCTGCCTCTCCCGTTTCGAAAGATATTTAGCCAGAATCTCATACATAGAATGAATAAATGTTTTTGAAAGTTTAATCAAAGTTACAACAAATCTGCACATATAGTCAGTCACAAAGGGGACGCGATAAACGACTATGTTGTTTATTAATCAGACACATTTAATAAACAGGCGCTCGCCTACTTCTCCTTAGCATCATGAAGAAGGATAATATATGACCTACAAAGTACATACATAACAGACATATGCAATTGCGCCAAAAATGATCTTCGGCATAACCGAATCGGTCTAATACTTCTGGTCCGGATTTTATACAAGGCAAAGTACTATTTGTTACACATTCAATAGACTCAATTGAGTCCCATTGCAGTACCGATATGGATTCAACGCCGTAATAGAACCCTGACACGTATCTAAGCCATGATAAGTAAGGTGAAACGCTGGCTAAATTGAGGTAGATACCAGAAAACATGGTGCCTATGAGGTCGAATGGTACGGACACTAGTGCAGCGGTTTCCATTGAAGCGAACGTCGTCGATAGAAATGAGCCTGCAAATTTAAAAAAAGAATTACATTGTCAATGATAAAATAAATGAATTTGAAATTTGGAGGTTTCTTAAAAATTTGTTGTTCTAAATTTAAATGCAAAGTAAAAGATTTCTCTTCATGTCACTTTTTGTGATTATATTTCAATTAAACAAATTATGTATTGTCACGATAAAATTAAAGTTTTTACAAAACACCTACTTATTAATTTTTTTGTTTTAATTATTAAATTGACAGGTTTGTGCTGTCACTTGATGAATGTCTAGTGCATAGTTACAAGAATTTAAACATTATTTGAATGTACAGGTTACTGTAAAGGATTATGTCAACTGTGATTAATGAAAAATACCATTCATTTTTAAAATAATGTTCAATGACATTTAAATTTCATAAATCTTGTCAGACTGTTGTGTATACTTACCATATGCATTGGCGTAGTTGGCACAGAGTATACAAACAAAGTTGAAGCCAAGCCAGCCCACGAAACCACCTCGTAAGCCTGCCACTGAGAATACTAATGCCGAGAATATCGTCGGTTCTATTGTTGCGCGAGGAATCTGCAACGTAAACAATAAGTAAATATCTACAACATTACATTTATAGATTTTTTAATATATCTAAAATGTATGCTTTACCTAGTTACCTATTTTGTGAGTAATCGTGTCAATTTAACAAAAAACGGCGATAGGTTTTTATGGACCCTCGATTGGAACGAAGTTCCTTAGCGTTTTGGTAGACTTTTGCTATATATATGAAATATTAAAAACATGTGAGCGTCGACGCGCCAACTGAAGTGTCGGTAAAAAGCCTTGTCATACACATTTCAGTCTCGCTCCCATCCGCTCAGAGCGTGTTACGCGCGATAAGGAACTTCGTTCCAAAAAAAATGGCTAAGGAAGTTACCAACTTACCCAAAATATCATCTTGGACAAGTAATAAGGAAAAGGTGAATAGAGCCCACTGGCCGTTTCTCTGAGGAGTATAGGCACCTCGCTAGGAAACGTGATGAACACCGCGTATATGAACAGGAAAATCGTCTCCGCTATTGTGAGATACAGAAGTCCTTCCACATTTTGTATGTCCCGTTGATCCAACTCTTCGAAACGTCCGGCATATGGTATTGAGATTATTAAGCCTACAAACTACGGACAAACATGTACAAGGTCTTAGTGTGACAACATAATAGCGTACATTAAATAAGCTGTAATACAATTTACTAATTATATTGTTACAACTATTTGGTGATTTAGACGAGTGGCCGTGAGATTGTTAGCCCGATTTCTTTTTACAAGGCTCAACTATTTTGAAACGGTCGATTATAGATTGACACAAAACACTGACACATCCTTAAAAACATACTGAAAAAATCGGCTTAGTGGTCAATTCGCAGAAATTTGTTAGCACACTGTACGAAACGGCCCCTTTTTAAATTAATATGTTTTAGTTGTCGATTTGCACAAACTTAATTTATTAGTGTGCGATTTGTTTCCTTTGTTTTAATTATGTGCACCACTTTCATGCGCTACTGTGCCATTTTTATATAAAAATAATAACAAAATGTGTGCGACTCGCCACAACATTTTTCGAGAGGTATCGATTCGCACACTAATAAATTCAGTTTGTTCAGTTCAAAAATCAGTTAAATCAACTACTAAACAAATATTATTTTCAAAAGGGGTCGTTTGGCATAACGTGTGCGAATCGACCACTAAGCCAAAAATAATGTATAAGTTAAGAAGTCCTAGTCGTTTCATTTACGAATTCGATTATGACTAACTATTTACGCAGCTTACAGGTTTTTTCTATCATACGGAAACTATACTGAAGACTATGTTATTCGTTCAACTCGTATTATAATTTGAAATACCTACATATGAACCACAAAAATAGTGAAAGTTAAAAGTTTAAGTTGATAAATTAACTTTACTGGTTTTAATGTTATTACTTACCATAAGCAGAAGAAACTCAGCGATCCATATGCTATAGTTTCTTTTTAGTGCTTGAATATTTCGCCACATCAACCAGTAGAATTGTACGAAGTAATTTACTTTGACTCTGCAACAAATATGATTGACTAGTATGACAATGCATCACCATTCTCCCCTTTTACCATTTACCCATTGCGCCGACTCCAAAAAAAGGGTTTTATTTGGGTCGACGCAATGGGTAACGTCGCAAGGGTCATGGCTGATTTCTTTTATGGCCCGGCGGCCACTTGCTTGACGCTAACTCTTATTATTATTATTATTTTCAGACGGGACAAGAAGAGATGTTATATTAGGGTAAGAAAAACACCAAATACGACTGTAGTCTAACTAGATTACTTATAACTATTTTTCTATTTTTTTATGGTATAAGAGGACAAACGACCAGATAGGTATCGCATCATCACATCAACAGCCTCTAATAGTCCACTGCCGGACATAGGCATCTCCTTAGAAAGGAGGTTTTGGCCTACTATATCACGCTGGCCAGACGGGTTGGCCTGTTCCTTCCTTAGTCGGCTCTTACGACAGCCACGGGATGAATAGGGATGGTGACAGGTGGGCCACCTGATGGTGAATAACTACCGCCACCTAAAGATAGTAGCAACTCAAAAGTCACAAGGGCGTTGAGGCCTTTAAGTCCTCCCTCAGAATCAGGAGGATTAGGGATGTGGGCTCAGGTAACCTCACTCACTCACCATTGTTACAATAAAACTAATCATTACGGCCGGACGTCGTAGTGGATTGTGTAACGAACTGCTACGCTAAATTCAAAGATTTGTGTGCATGAATATTTAATGTTTGATTTGGTCTGGGTGTTTCAATGTATAATATGTATGTTATTTACAAAAAAAAAGTATCTACGTATTTATATCAGTTGTCTAGTACCTTTAGTACAAGCTCTGCTTAGTTTGGGACTAGATGGCGTTGTGTGATTGTGATAGAATATTATATTATATTATTATTTTTATATTATTTTTCTAATTGTAACTGTTTCTAGGTTTAAAAGCTATATATACTTTAATATGTCACAGTAATACGATAAATCACTGAAGTATCATTCAGTGATTTATCGTATAAATGGATATCTATTATTCAATACTAATATTAATTTTAGTCTAATGGCTTTAATTTTTAATTCATACTTCATTAATAACAGGTTTATTTGAAATCTATCAAAATGGTGTGTGTAATTAACATATAAAATTATTCATTAAATATTTCAATTTTATGCAATTACAGCATTATAAATAGTTAAATAAATATTGCATACTTACAGAGTTAAATATCTTTCGAAATATTGATTCTGCAACAAACAAATTATATAAATGTTAAAAGTGTTTTATTAATTACAAGACTGTCGAATAAACTTCATAATGTTTCTGTAATTTAAAACTCAACACCAAACATTAAACTTTACAAAATGGACTAAAATTATCGTTAGAGAAATATGGGTACTGTAAAACACCGTCGGGATCATGCCGTGAGTGCATGTAGGGTATATACGAGTATGTAAACAAATTTTGCCTTAATCATTGTCATCAGCTTATCACTGCTGGACATAGGCCTCTCCTATTGCACGCCAATTCGATCGATTCTCGCATCCAGCTCCTGCCAGTTATTCTGCACAAATCATCACTCCACCTGGCCTTTTTTTTTTTTTTTACCCCCTCGGGCCGTCACCCTACCGGGGTTTGCGGCGGGGTGGTGTGTCGGAATCGGACCGACTAAAGCCACACGGTGTGCCACTCTGCGCCTGTAATAGGAGGAATCGGGGAACTCAGGGAACTGCTGTAATTAAGACATCCGGACCCCTCCGGCCGTGGAACGGGCCATGGAGCGTATGACGGCCAGTAGTGAGAGATCCCCCGCGATGACTGCAATGAGGACCCGGCGCTGAGGCGCCCAAGCCGGCAAATTGCCAGCGTGTGCTGAGCCGAGTCCTTACTGCAATCGCAGTGGTACTTCCCGAAGCAGCCGTGCCCGGAAAGACCTGCGTCAGCCGGAAGGAAAGGGTCCCGTGCTGCCGCCCTGCCCACTCAACGATGACCGGCTGAAGCGCCTCCACGGCCGCAAAGCCAGCACGTAGAGCCCCCAGCCGGGACGACCAACGAGCCATCGTGGCTCGACGAGCGGCCTCACGCCACTCGCGTATCTCTTCGGGCGGGGGCCTACTGCCACTATCCGCCCGGCACTCAGCCGTCCGTCGATATACTTCGGCGAACACTTCCGTCTCCAAATCCCGGGGAGTAGCGGCCAATGCGCACGCCGTCTCCGTCGATACGGTGCGGTAACCGCGTATGGCTCTAACCGCCAATATCCTCTAAGGGCGCCAGAGCCGTGCCATATTCTAGGCGGTCAGAGCCTACGCCCACACCGGTGCACCGTACAGTGCCTCCACCTGGCCTGCGTTTGCCCAGACGCGGTCTTCACTCAAAAATTCGTTTACCTCAACGGTTGCCAGCAATCTGGCCAGCCCACTGCCATTTCAGCTTGCTGATCCGGTGGGCTATGTCGATGACCTTAAAGAAACGCCGAGCATAGCCCTTTCCATAGCACGCTGAGCGGCTTAGAACTTATGGACCAGCCGTACCGTAAGTGTCTACGTTTCGGCTCCCTATGTCATGACGGGCAGGACATTGAAGACTCGCAGAACGACCTACGTCCTCCATAAGCGCAGGCCTGGGGGTGACAGGTGAGGCCATCTGTCACCCTAGCAGAAGCAGGCCGGGGTGGCGGCGAGCGCATTGCGAAGCGCGCTCGCTTCCAGGGAGCACAGGGAACATGGGGTTCCCACACGGGTGGGGGTCGTCTACTCGTCTGTAGATGACCCGAGGTATGTCGGGGCACCAGGGACTTCATTTCTAGGGTATACCTGGTTCCCCGGCTATTAGTACCCGGCGACGGCGTGCGGTTTTAGTCGGTTCGAGTCCGACATGCCACCGACAGGTGGTATCCGAGGGGATTACAGCACGGCAAAAAAAAAAAAAAAAGGACATTGAAGACTTTCGTTTTAAGGCAGTGTGTGATCGACGATGTGAAGACTCGACATAGTTTCCCAAACGCTGAACAACCCAGCCGAAATCTTCTATTCACCTCGTCCTCGAAGTTGTTTCTACCTAACTAACTAACAGACATTGGTCTGCCCGAGGTAAACATATTTTTGAACAACTTCCAGAACGACCCCGTGTACCGCAATCAGTTCCGGTAGTACATGTTCAGTGAACATGACCTTGGTTTTATCAAGTTCATCCGTAGGCCGATGCGCATAGAAGAGTCAGCCAGGTCATTCAGCATCTGTTGTAGGATTTGCCCAGATAAACATAATCCTTCCTAGGCAGACGGGTAAAAATTAAAACTCCAAAGCTAAAAAACCTTTAAAGAGAAAAATTGATGTGTATGCGATCGAAGTATACCGACTGATTTTTCTTGGGTAGGAAATAAAAATCCTACAACATAACAACAAAATTTCAATCGATGTGTAGACATTATTAAAACAAAAGTTGTAAATGAACCTCTCTATGTACGCGTGTATGTGTGTGTGTATTAGTGTGTCTTGTTAATTTGAAAATTTTAAATTAATCGTTTTAGTAACTGGTACATTTGTAACGAAATACACAACTCCATATATTCCACTCCATGCTATTATCATTCAAACGGCTGTATTTTCATTAAATATGCATACTTTTATTGGACGTCCATTACTATTTATTATTGTTTTTAATATATTTATCACTGTGGACTGAACACAAATGGTGTTTAAAGGCCGGTATGTAAATATCGCACCTATCAAAATAGAGTATTCACTTACATCTGGCTCTCTATTTCTCGCAGTATTTACATAAAATTATAATTATTACTTTATTGACCAGAGAATTGGCATATTTATAACCTTAACTTTTGGTGAGATATTCGAAAAAATTAATAATGTATTAAAAATAAAAAACGTTTTACGGGCCTGTGTATCTGATTACTGGAACAAAATGTCGCGTATTCTGTTTCAAGACAGGACAAACAATTGTGTGCTTACGAGCACGATAGATAGATAATTTCTCTAGAAGCGTAACTAAGCCTCAAAAATCGTTCCACGAAATATAAGCCGTGGCGGGCGGGGCGTAAAATATGCACCAGCACTGAGCATCAGTACGCCGTAACACTCGTGTTGAGCGGTAGTATTACGGGAAGTTTCGATTGTGCTTATTATTATGTTTTTGCGCTATTTCATTTCCCAAATATGCCGTCATGTGTCGTGAAGTGGTATAGAAGCCATTCAGAAATGAAAAAGGCATTTTGTTATCCCATACTTAACGACTCTGGAAAGTGTTATGCAAAATGTGAGATTTTTTTTTGTATGCAGTTTTCGTCTCATTACTGCGTACATAAAACATGTTTGATTTTAATATTAAGGCTGATATTATACAAAAGTATAACATATTTAATTACAAAAAAAAAATGGGTTCGTAAGAAAGGAATCTGACTGGATGTCTAACATATATAGTAGAATATGCAGCATACACTTGCGAAGTGAGAACATATACACGCTTTGTAATGGAAGGCGTAAACGATAAAATAAAATCTGTGTTGCCTATTTGCACTGTAACTGTTTTATATTTCGATTTTATTATTTTCAGTCCCCTAGTACCGAATGCACCATTGACCTGCACCATCGATGGTGCAGAGGAGACAAATTAGTTTTCTTTGCACCATTAATATTAATACAACTACTTCACCACACTTTATTCGTTTATTCCATCCAGTCCTACCAGTAGTTCGATGATCAAACTGTTTGGAAGTTTTTTTTTCCAAATAGAGTGGTGTCACTTTGATTGAATCAATTATGAATATTACTAATATTGATAGGTTGTTTACCTGCATGCGATCGGTAAATACAAATAAAGCTCATAAGGTCATCCTTATGACCTGACCTGACCTGATCATAAGGTAAAGAAATTTAATACTGTAGAAATTCATAAGGTCAAAAATTGCTTGCATCTATTTCTTTTCATGTTTATGTTACGACTATTGTAAAAAATAGGTGCTCAGTAGAAGCGTGGTAGAGTACAGCTTGTTCTATATTAATATTGTTGTTATATTAGGTTTACTATGGCTTACGTCAAAAACTTTGATACATTTATATTTGCAATAATTATGTTTGTTAAGCAGAATATGCATTTAAATTCTAAGAATAGTGATGTGTATTCGACAAACACTGGATGTAATTATAAATTAGTTATAACGTAACGTATCATCGACTACAGAATGTCCATGACTAATAAAAACTTGCATGCTGACAATAATTAATAATTTTTTATATTTAGTATTTGAGGACTTTCCTTAATATCCGATCTTTTTTTTGCGACATTTATGGCTAAATATTAAGATTCCATTCATTCATGCAAAGACTGCAATTTTTACCATCTAAATTACTAGATTTAAATAAATTATGTACACCTTTATTTGACATCTATTACTATTTATTTTTGTCTTAAATATATGTATTATACAAAAATTCAGCTAAAGCATAATAATTATACAGATATTTTATAACCGCGGACTGAACACAAATTGTGTTTAAAGGTCGGTATGTAAATATCGTAACTATTAAAATAGAATATTCACTTACATCTGGTATTCTACTTAAAAGCATTATTTAAATAAAATTATAATCATTACTTTAAATGACGATAGTCTTGGCAAAATTTATGATCTTCGCCCAGTAAATGGTAAGTTTATCGAAAAAAATTAATATGTAAAACAAAAATAAAACATATTCAGGACAAATAACCCTATAAATGAACACACCTATATCGAACAATTTCAATAAGCAATTTTGTACCCATAGTACAGGTTTTACCTAGTTTGGGGATTAGATGGACGACTGTGAGGTGTATTTGGTTATTATTTATTGTGTTATATTATTTTTTGAAGCAAAATATACGTCTCAGACAAAAAGGATATATATTGAAAAATCTTTTAATGAAAATAGTAAAAAATGTATTTGGTATTTGATTAAAATTACACGAAATAGAAAACCACCGTCGTTTTCCAAAACTATGTTACCTCTACATACTGCCATTACTGAGCTCATGCCAGGTTTTGTATGCTATATTTGATGGCGGTTCTTGACGCTCTCATTGTCCGAGCTCGTCACTAGTATGGTCGTTATGAGGTCCGGGTTACGTACTATTTGGAAGTTTCTCATACACAATCCGACCCGTATTCACTGCTCTTTAGCGTATTAAATTTAATGAATGTTTGTTCGTAACTACGATCGGATAATACGATCATCATGAAATTTTAAATACCTTGTTAGGGATACAAAGAAAGAATTAGTATACCTTTCCTCCAGAGAAAGTTACTGTTACCGACGGATGGAAAAACTACTTTTACAAGAGCCAATTGCCAATGGGCCGGTTCAGATCACGTCATTGACGAAAGTCTTGTAAAATAACGCTAAATACCTTTATAATTTATAAACTGTTTTAATAGGCTTTAAAGTATATAATACTAGCTTTTACCTGCTGCTCCGCCTGCGTTTATGTCGGTTATCGCGGTAAATAGTAGCCTATGATACTCGCTGATAATGAAGCTTTCAATTAGTCAAAGAATTTTTAAAAACAGTTTAGTGGTTTTAGGTGTGAAAGCTTAACAAACAAATAAACTCTTACAATATAAGTATGGAAGTAAGTATGGATAGTCAGTCAGTTTAGTGGTTTTAGGCGTGAAAGCTTAACAAACAAATAAACTCTTACAATATACATAAGTATGGAAGTAAGTATGGATAGTCAGTCAGTTAGTGTTTTAGGCGTGAAAGCTTAACAAACAAATAAACTCTTATAAGTATGGAAGTAAGTATAGATAAACTTACCTTTTCATCCGTCGTACCGTTGAAATACTCATCCTCATCTCTAACATCAACACGCCTTTCAATTTCGACGGCGTAACTCGACCGCTGGTATTCATCACATATCCGTCTGATGCGCTCTCGACTCTCGAACTCCTTGTCTATTTGGATGCCAAGGAGAGAGATGTAATACTCCGCTGCGTTGAATCCGACCGGACATTTGTAGTTCAGCCTGTTGGTAGTTTTCGTACAGTTATGGTGGCAAAGAAGCTACTTTACTAGATTAGTACGGGGACTGCTGATCTATAAATACTGAAATTTATCATAATTTAGGTGCATTTAATTTAGTGATACTTCAGTGAAAATATTCGGTTTCTATAAAAATAAAGCAATAAATTGATAAACTACCCTAATTTCTTTAAGGAATTTAGTCTGATAGCCTTATATCTCCCGGTCCTTTTTCAAAATCCGTTCTATGTGGCCCATCTATAAACTACTTCCATTCCAAATTGTTACACGCAATAATAATAGTCACATTCTAATGTACGTAGTAGTTAGAACTAATACTTTTCCTAAAACATTATTGCTCAACACTTAATATAACGAAAATGTAACAATAAACAAACAAACAATAATTTATTAAATCTGAAATAATAGTTCAATTGTTAGCTTATTAGGCATTGTTAATTATGAACAGCTAAATAACAAATTCGACTATAAATTCAAAATTAAGTTGTTCCGCTAACAGTCAGCTGTTTACAGCATCTTTTGAAGATGACGAGAAAACTGCTAAAAACATTCTAGAATTAGTTCAAATGTTAACAGTGGAAGTATACAGCTGTACTTACGACCCAAAGAATTGTTCAGCATGGTCCATAGTTCCTTGGAACGCTATTCTTCCATTTGCTAGTAGGACGACTTGGTGGAATAATTCGAAGACGCCAGATGCCGGTTGGTGTACAGAGCAGACGACAAGTTTTCCTCCAATGGCGAGTTTCCTCAGCCGTGATACCACGGCTGCAGCGCCCCAACTGTCGAGACCCGTTGTTGGTTCGTCACAGAAGAGTATTGGTGGATCATTTAGTAACTATAAAAAGATATGAACCAAATGAAAAATACTGATATCTCATTCCGAAATATGGTTTAGTTCGCTGGCAAATAAGATTGCTCAATTGGCGTTATCTTGTAGCAGGTATTTAATCACGGGAGTTAAGAACGTAAAGCCGTTTGATGGGTCAATCTAAGTTGTACCTTCACTCGTCATTTTTATAATGAATAGATTACTTACCTGTACAGCTAAAGACACTCTCTTTCTTTCACCTCCAGACAAAGCCTTTAGTTTAGTGAGGGTGCAGTTGTTCACACCGAGTTCGCTTAGCAGTAGCTGAATACGTCTTGCTCGAGCTCCTTTTGTTGCACGTTTATCCATCATCAGGCGGGCCTGGAAGATTATACCAATAAGAAGTTGGAACATCGCAAGCTTCAAGTAAATACCATGATATGATAACAGTTAAATTATATTTGATATTATATTTTAGATGTCTTTTAAAAAGAAAAAAGAAATTTTAAATACGACAGATGGTTTATTATTCTGTTTTTCAATGGCGTTAGCAATTTTATTAAAACAATAAAACAGTGAACCACCAGTGAACCAGTGTTACCATAAACTCCATATGTTCATCCACTGTAAGATCTTCGATGGCAAGGTCCTGTTGTGGTACGAAGCCTGAAATCCTCGCTATGAGGTCCGCACCAGCTAGTCTCCCGTTCAACATAAGGTAGCCTGTTATGGCACTTTTATCTCGACGGCTTATGGCAGCCAACAATGTTGTTTTACCAGCGCCACTACAAAAGGAAGGTTACATACTAGTTTATATTTGTCTTCGACAATAAGGGAAATAACACCTATTTTTAAATACCCACTATGATTCTGCAATATTGCTGGTTGGAATATTAGTTTTTGCATTTTATAAAGACAGTTGATTGATTTTTGAAGAAGAATAAAGAAGATGAGCGGAAGAAAAGACTTATTTCTAAAACCCCTTTGTTTTTTAATATTCAAAATTCCAGTTTTTGTATGTGGCTGCGTTTGCGTAAATTTTTTTTTCTCAGGAATTGCTTTTTTCTGAATAAGAGTGCCTTTATGTGTGTTATCATATTTATATGTATGTACGTATTTCTGTTACATATACTTTCTGTATGTAAAAATTTTACGATGATCCGAACTGACTTTCGGAGTCATGACACGTATTAATCAAGCAGTCTTACCTTGACCCCATTAAAGCGACTAAGTTGCCTGATGACACGATGCCATTAACTGGAAAGAAACGCAGTAATTAATAGACGGTTCATTAACTTTCACACACACACACACACACATCAGCCTTTAATAGTCCACTGCTGGACATAGGCCTCTCCTTAGAAAGGAGGTTTTGGCCTACTATACCACGCTGGCCAGACGGGTTGGTATAGGGTTTGTGTCAAGTTTTCCTTCTTTTAGCAGTGCTGGTGTCCTGCCTTGTTTTGCGCCCTTGGTCGGCTTTTAAGACACCCACGGGATGAATTGGGGTAGTGACGTCCGTGTAGTGACGGATTAAGAATACAGAATGTCACTACCCCATTAACTTTCAGCCATGATTTACTAAGACAAGTTTTCCCAGTCCAGGAATTTAAATGAGAAAAAGAGAATTAGGAAATTGAAAAAGGTAGTCCCATAATGGTTGTTTCTTTTGATTAGATACATTTATGACCGATCGTTGCAGCCTAATTTTGCACCTATTTTGTAAAGTCGGGTAATAACAATAACATTCATCACTTTAATATTGATGATTTGTAAAAAAAATATTAAACTCACTTTATGTGCCCTGAAGTTCTTAGGCTTTTTCTCGTTTCCCCTTGTATATCATTATCAGATTCGGATTTGGTGATTATGGAACCAAAATTAAAGCATCGTGCAGAAAAAAAAGAGTTTTTGATGATGTAAAATACAGCTGCAAGCCTTTTTCTGACATATGCCTCTCCTTAGAAAGAAGGTTTTGGCCTACATAACTTATAACAATCTTACTAAATGCTTCATCTAATACAAGGAGAATGATTCAATTTTAATTGGGTATAAGTTATCTTTAATAATATATGTATGTATTAGTATGTTTATCAGTAGTCTGGTTACCATAGCACAGGCTCTGCCTAGTTTGGGACCAGACGGCCGTGTGTGAGATGTGTAACATTATTATTACTATTAATTTACGATTTTTAAACAAACAAACAATATAAGAAAAATACTTTTTAACTTTACAATATACAATTACAAATTATTAATGGTAATAGGTGGCTTTACATTAGCTCAACTTTAAAAGTCATGGCGCAAAGACTTAATAAGACACGTTTTTGCTTTTAAGACACACTTTGAAGTCGTTTGATTAATGTATTCATCGTTTGGTATTTTCAAAGTGGGACTAAACATTATAGTTGGATTATTAGTTTGAAATTTATTTTGTGTAAGATTTTATGTAAATATTTTTAAATAAACTAGATTTTTATTTATTACAGAAACCTCAAAGAATAATTACCGCTTAACTGTTTAGAAGCAGAAAGGTCGTATACGTGACCTCATGAAGATCTCATGGGATATTTTTCTTCACAGTTAAAATAAGTCATAAATTAGTTTATAACAACGACATAATCTTTGAAAGTAGCGGGAGATCAGATTAAATGGGCTGAGACTATTTATGACTCTATTTATGAGTATAAAACAGACAGCCTCTATGTGTGTTTCAATGGGGTGAACTTACAGTACAGTAGGTTTATACAATAAACGTAAGATAGGCAATTAATCAAACAATTTTATCCAAGTCATGCTCTCTGTTACTGGAGACATGTCTAGAGATATTTTTGTTTACAAGAGAGTGACATTTGTCTGTACAGAGACGGATTTAGGTTGTCTGAACACATTCGTTAATGTTGTGTATTCTATTATTTTATTTCTGTAGTTAACAAAAAAGGTCCAAGAACGTTATAGGTAGGGGATGATTTCGTGTCTTAAGTTTACTTTTTTAAGTTTCAGTAGTAGTTCAAGTTTAAAGACCAAACAGACAACTATAAAATCTATAAAAGTTAGACAATATGCCTTGATTATTTTTCTTTTCTTTGTTTTATCTTTATCATAAATTCTTTTGAATTTTATTTATTAATCACACAAAAAATTGCTTTAATAACGGTAACAATGTGATTTGTAGAACGAAAAATGACTGTCTAAACTGTAAGCTGAATATAAATCTTCAATTTTCTGTAGATTAATTGTACATTACATGTACATATTTTTGATTTTGCCTATTTACATAAAATATAAACATATTATGTAAATACGCAATTGAGACGTGTTGGTCTCGTGATTACTAACTTTCTTCGTCTTGGGTCGACGGGTTTCTAGGGCAACAACATTGGTTGAAGTTGCTGGGTTGAAGCTAAATCGTTCAACAATCTAGTTGTCTTCTTCATTATGTTCATGAGTAAAACGTGATCTACCCAGACAAAATCGTAGCCTTGAAACAGAGCCGGTCGGTCTAAGTCCGATAGGCTCCGTCCAACACATTAACATCCGGCACTTGACGGCCGGGATAGCTTGCTATGTATTTCCATGAGCTCGTACAAATACGCATTGGCAGTATCCTTAAGAAATCTAAATATACATTTATTCCTCGTTCATATAGATCATCACGTCCAACAAATCAGAAGCACAAATCAAAGTCTAGTTAGCAATAGTTAGTCACGTACCATATAAAAAGGTTTAACCGATTCCAATGCACCAAAATCTTTACAATGATTTTTGTAAATTGGAAACGGTTCAAAGCTGCATTATTCATCCTTTAATTGAAACTCTTATTTTTTTTCATTTTATCATCATCATCATCAACAGCTTTTAACAGTCCACTGCTGGACGTAGGCCTCTGCTTAGAAAGAAGATGTTGGCCTACTATGCCACGCTGGCCAAACGGGTTGGTAAAGAGTTTGTGTTAAGTTTTCCTTCTCTTTGCAGTGCTGTTGTCCTACATAGTATAATAGGGGTGGTGACCCACCGTATTCTTAACCCACCACCACACGTCTGTAAATACTCGCATATCATTGAAGCCTTTGTAAATCATGACTGCAATTAAATTCTTGGCCTTGAGATGCTTCGACTAAAACACGAATGCCTTGAAGGCTACATTTTTTTAACCAGCCATTAACCTGACTCCTAAGATGTGTAATTCTCGTGAAGATGTCTAGTTAAATAATATTCGAACAGGTTTATAATTCACTAGCGTTTTTATAAAAGTTTCAAATGACATTTATGGCGTCTGATACACTCTTAAAGCTCCTAGTCTGATGTTTTATAGCTTATAATATTACTCAATAAATACTCTGTGCAATATAAAAGAAATCGTACAAATAGGACTAACAGTTTCAGTACTTCCAAATCAAGAAACACAAAAAATTCAATTAAATGTAACAAACATCTGTGGATTTAAGATGTTTCAAGAAAAATCTTGAAAACAGCTAAACAAAGTTAAAAATAACCAAGAACCATCCTAATAAAAATCACATTTGGTAAGGTCCATATGTTTCATAGCTATGATATCACAAATAGATACATCCCTAAGAAGGCTGCAAGATTCCCGCTGCCAATCGGCCCGATAAGTACGTTACGGCCCGATCGCGTCTTGATACGATCAGGCCGCCATCCTACTACACTCTACGAGATAGGTACTGGGTATTATTTAAACAGTTTCAGACCTACATAAACGAAGGTTGGTAAGGCTAACTCTTAATCGTGTTGTTTAAAAATAATCTCAAATATAAACTCATATAACACACACATATATTACGAGTACAAAGACTTCTTTAGCTAGTTTAAAGTTTTTCATATGCAAAATAACATCATTACGTCAACTAAGCTTAATAAATGAATTGGAAATAAAAAATGTCACGATGGCGAACGGCAGCAGCACTAATAAATAATACCTACCAGAAGATTTACATATTATCAGATCAGTGATATCCAGATCGTTTTCAAGATAACAGAAACAGAATTTACATATTAAAACTTCCGTTTTCACATTCTTTTCAACACCGTTTCTTCAAAGTTTCACTTATTTTTACCACTGCGTCATTAATTCGGTCAAGGCGTAGTAATTACGAGTATATACATAATAACCTCATACGGCTACTGGAACAGGACAAATGATCGCGTTCATCACACAATATTTGTCCTGGGGAGCGAAATTGCGACCTAACTGCCACGCCAGACTTAGCAGTTAGGACCACTAACCACCAGCTAGCTTGTCTAGCTTGTACAGCTTGTCTGTAAGAGATCGCCGTGAGCGATAAGACCGCCTATTGTAATACCAAAATGTAGATGTCCATCCATGTCTGTACAATATATACTATAGCGGTGTACAATAAAGACGTATAAATAAATAAAATAACTGTAATGCAGTAAGAAACTTACAACTATAGACAGATCTGCAGATTTGCAGCCTTATTGCTTTAGGCAATCTCTACAAGCAACGAGAAAGAGAAAAAGAGTTGTGGGGAGTGAATTTAGTCTGGAGTGTAAAAATGAGATAGGTGTAGAGATAGGATAAAAATAATAAGATACATTTGAATATATTAAAAATAGTATTCGCTTGCATTAAAAGACTAGCTAACCCTCGCATCTTCCTCTGCGTCTTTGAAAGGGTAGTATAGGGATAAATAGACTATCCAACCCTAAAAGAATATCTCAATTCCAACCAGAAGTTCCTGAGATTAGCGCGTTCAACCAAACAAACTCTTCACCTTTATAATATTAGAATAAATATGAAAGGATGGCCAAAATTGCCTCGTGTAACGAAACATAGGTAATATAATCAATTACGAGGATAATTTAAAAATGTTGTCACTTACCTCCGTGTAATACTCTCACTTCCTCGTAAACCGGAGACTTCCAAATGCTAGTCTGTATCTTCTTTTTTCTGTGTACTGATAAGTCTTTCCACGACAATGTGAGGTTGCCCGGACTGTCTCCTAAGCCTATTTCTTCGTCTTCCCAGTTGACAACTGTGCCAGTCAACAGGTTGCGCGCAGGTAGCTTTGTGGTTATTTCCTTCATTTTGTTGTACGTCTACGGCATCAGGTATTTTCTGAAAAGATTAAAAAAAATATTATTTCAAATTTTCATAACTCCAAAAAGGGAGGAGATTCTCTGATTAATTTGTTATTACGCATTATTCTCTTTATCGAATTTTAATATTCAATAATTGGATCTATCTGTCCGTGTGGCTCGTCGCGGTGGATTAAAAATACACAGTATCACCACCCCTCTTCATCCCATCGGTGTCGTAAGAGCCAACTAAAGGAGGAAACTACGCAGGACAACAGCACTGCAAATAGAAGGAAAACTTGACACAAACCCTATACACACAATACCTCCTTTCTAAGGAGAGGCCTATGTCCAGCAGTGGACTGTAAGCTAGATTACCAGCGAGTAAAATAGGCTACTTTTACCGCAATAACCGACATACACGCGGGCAGAGCCGCGGGCAAAAGCCAGTAAAAAAATTAAATAGGAAAATACTTAGATCCTGTTCACCATATTTAAAATAAGAAAATAATTTTCCTATCATAAGGAGTATAATGAATACTTTAACACTTTCAAATTTAAAATAAATTGATATTTAATCTAACTAGACATCTAATTAAAATGTCTAGTTTTTCTAATAGAGTTCCACAAACAAATTAGTATATTTTAATGAACACATATCCAATATTAATTTAAACGGTTTTTACTTTGGCAGTAATAATTAACAACTTAATGTATCCCTAATGATCTATTTTGCAAATAATTAATTGGCATATTAATCACCTACTTGAAGAAGCGACATATACTACACAAGGACTCGTCAACTAATCACCAACCGGATGATGTTTTGAATTAATAAATGAAGGTTTTCAGAGTCAAGTTCTTCAAATCACGTGTACGGTAACATACTCGTAAGATAGCTGACAAAGCAGAGTCGGTTTTGTCTCGCACACGGCGAGTCTCGGAGAGGACTTTAAGCCGAGCGTTGACTGCGTTGCTCGGTCGCGGTTGCCATACCAACATCTATGGCAATCGTTACGGGTTGGAACCTTAAAAAATGCGACAACAGTCTATCTACAGAACCTTAATATCGCCCAGTACTTGGGTTGTGGAAGTATGATGGCAGTCACTATATGTAAAAATCGAGTTCAGCCGTGGCGTAGTAGACTCCAACCTAATTTGGGAAAAGGCATGGAACATAATAATGATGTCTCACACACGGCCAGATATTTTGAGATAGGCCATCTCAAAATAGACAGAGAGAGCCTTTACTGTAGCAACCGACTGCTCATAAATACTTATGTATTTCTAATTACATATTCTATTTTATATATTATTAAATATACACTATGAAATATGTATTTTAAACAATTACACTCAGACTCAGAACAAATGATTCTGCCCATCACATAATGATTTGTCCTGGGTGAGAATCAAACTAGCTCTGGCTTAACAGTCAGAATCACTAACCTTTAGACCAAGAGGTTTGTTGTTATCTTGGATTTCTTAACTTTTTTTTATAAAGACAACACCCGCACTATGAATAAATCCTGTGTCACAGGGAACTTTACAAACATACATGAAACGGACACAAAGGACACCCAGACTCAGAACAAAAATTTGTGGATCACACAAAGTGTTGTCCTATGTGAGGATCGAACGCACAACACTCAGCGCAGTAGAAAGCGGTGGGGTGACCGCTTAAACCACTAAGCCATCCGTGCAGTCATTCAAATCTAAAAAAAAAAGTAGGTAATGATTCTATTTAGCGGCCTGATGGCCGTCCTTAGTGATCACATCACATCAACAGCCTTTAATAGTCCAGTGCTGGACATAAGCCTCTCCTTAGGAAGGAGGTTTTTTTATATTTTCATTATATCACATCACACACCTTTAACAGTCCATTGCTGGATATAAGCCTCTCCTTAGAAAGGAGGTTTTGGCCTACTATGCCACGCTGGCCAGACGGGTTGGTATAGGGTTTGTGTCAAGTTTTCCTTCTCTCTGCAGTGCTGTTGTTTTCGTCCGTGTGGTGATGGATTAATAATACAAAGTGTTACAACCCCTATTCATCCCATGGGTGTCATAAGAGCCGACTAAATTATATAAAATACAATTATTAATATTTTAGTAGGGTAAATAAGGTACTGCGGTAATATTTTCCGTTACTCTTATTCTGACTGCCAAGACTATACAATTTTCTCCAAAGAATTTGAAACGCTTGATATTCCCACTTAAAATTTGGTTTTAAATGTACACAAAAGCTTGAACCAAAATTATTAACACACCTCGTGCGAACCTTTTTGGTTCGGTTTCGTTTAATATTTGAATAAATTAAAATTCAGGCTATTTACATAAGACGCAGATACAGCATTAAGTGAAATATTGAAAATACTTGGGCTGTTTTAATTTCTTCTCATAGGTATTTTTCGATTTTATATATGCTATTTTTTTAATATACAGTGTGCTATCTTTTGCGTACATATATTTGTATGATACTTAATTATATTTGTGAATGTAAGCGAAACTTTGAATTGAATTTTCTAGCTTAATTATTGTTTAGTAATTTTAGGGCATTTTCAAATGTCTTAAATTATTTCTTATAGAGACTACCTTCACCTACCTATATGACATTTAAACAGTTTGAGTTTGTGTAGATTGATACGGTTGAGTTTGTTTCGCCTTTTCTTCAAATAACTTTATATTTCATATGGGTTTTTCTTTGGGAGAATCATGCTTCGACACAAATGGGCCTGCTCGACTGGAGTTATACCACGGTCTTTTCATAGAGTGAGTGAGAGTCACCCTCCTCATTGATTCTTGGGGGGGACCCAATGGACTCTTGCGGGTGACCCAATCGACCCAATGGCCGTCTGTTCGTTTGCCCTTCTATACCACGAAAATACTGACACCTTTGAAGTTGCCGTTAAAGAAAAAAATAATTTAAATTGTGAGAAATGAACATCCATAAGACATCGAATTGTAAATGTGTAATCTTGATACACTATTATTCTCTACATCTTTCGAAATACAGTACAAAGTACTTGCTTCACAACGCTTTCATTATGTTAATATAACTCAGTATCTCTTATTTCATTCCAAATTTATCAGCCATAAGGCAGTTGTACCATCAGCGACGGGTAGCGAGTAGTGGATTTCGAATGACTCTTTGGAAAGGAGCGTTATTTTTATTTATGGAAAAGACACATTGTTGAGATTAGTTAGTTAATTCGCACTATCGTGCTGTATAAAATATAACACTTACACATATTACTAGCACCTGCACGTATATTAACCTTAGTCCCTTTAGTCCTATATAGTTTGTAGTCTCTATATACATATCGTTTTAATTCGTGTTTTTTTTTAAATGAGAGCTCCCGCATTAGTAATACATCCTGAGTCGCGGGGGACTTTAAAAACATTCATGAAACGGACACGGAGACCAACTATTTGTGGATCACACAAAGTGTTGTCCCATGTAGGGATCGAACCCACAACATTTAACGGAGTAGGCTACAGCGAGGAGACCGATTAAACCACTACGCCATCGGTGATCTTTGGTTGTAGAATGTAATTTTGGACGTGAGCTAATTACTTAATATATAAGAAAAACATTATTGTTTTACATTGAATGCACGATTAAGTTAAGACTCGATAATAACTGGATTAGATACTCGCCAATAGTCACCTCATGTTGTGATAGTTAAATAAATTAAAAATTTCGCATCAATATCAATATCGCCTATAGAAAACGCCTCTCGCTCTCCTTGACACTCGTGCTTTGATAATCACGTTCATTTCAATCCACGTGAACAGTTTAACTGTTATCAAAGTGCAATCGTAAGCGACAGCGACAACGCTTTTTCCTATCGTGGTGGGACAAATGACTCACATGCTTGACAAACGAATATGTTGTCTGTGCAATTATCAATGAATCTTTTTATGAATAAACTGGCTGATAGATAGATAGAACTCTTTATTTGTACACCATTTTACAAGAAGCATGATAGTTACATGAAAGTGTTAGATATACAATGTACAAAGGGCGGCCTTATTGCTAAGAGCAATCTCTTCCAGGCAACCTTAGGATGGATCAAAATGTTCGGGAGAGATAGTAGGCTGATAGGATAATAATTAAAGTTCTAAATGATACAACATTTAATGAGCGGGCATATTTTTTTAAACTAATTAATAACTAGTAAATTTTAAACAGCTAATGAAATATGAGTCGGCCTATCCATTCGAGCTTGACCACGGAGACTGATTCTAAATTGATATCGATTTGACTAGGCAGTGAATTTTGATAAATCGGTCATTTTAAATATTTGAATAGTCTAACTGTGATCCTTGACTGATCTACCTATAGTGGTGTCTAACTTTGTTTGATAATTGCAACGTTTTGGCGTTGATATTGCCTAGGTTACTGTCCGAGAGTTCATAATCCATTTCTTTGTTTGCATCAATCGACCTTGACCTTCTCGAGCTATAGTTCACACTCCCCAAATTATTGCCTTCCGTTTTTAACAGCTATATATTTTTCAAAGCGCCTGATTGACGCCACGTTTGCCCCCTACTACGTAAGTGGCACTTATACAAACAGTTTTGCTTCAACATACACATACATACACTCAAGTCTTTATCGACGAGGGGATAGGCAGAGGCGTATTTACATCCCACTAACGTAACAGGGGGCTAGCCCAATGCCATCACCCGGGCATATACTTTAATCGTCATCATCAGTAACGACCTTTAATAGTCCACTGGCTCTACATAGGCCTCTCCTTAGAAAGGAGGTTTTGGTCTACTATACCACGCTACCCAGACAGGTTGGTATGGGGTTTGTCTTAAGTTTACCTTCTCTTTACAGTGCTGTTGTGCGTAATTTGCTCCCTTAGTCGGCTCTTACGACACCCACGGGATGGATAGAGGTGGTGACACTCAGTATTCTTAATCCGACATGGATACACAAACATGCACACATAAAAGATAAAAAACCTCCCAAAAAGTCATCAAAGCTTACTTTAAAAACG